CAGTTGAGGACCCTAAGTAGGGAGATCTTCCCATTGCCTGTGTCTCTGCCGATCTCTAACAGGGTGGTTGAAAATTGTTCAAACTGCTAACCCAGTTAACAATTCTAGGGAAAGAGAACGTTTTTGGAATGTTCCCCTAATGTTTGAGTGTCCAGTTTTTCATTAGTTAGGGGAACATTTCATCTATGTTAGCAAAAACCCTATGATAACCTTTTTAGCTATTTTGCAATGAAGGTCTACAGTAGCCTCAACCACACTCTGTAGGGTAGCACCATCGTGTAGCCGGAGGACAGCTAGCTTCCGTCCTCCTCTGGGTACATTGACTTCAATACAAAACATAGGAGGCTCATGGTTCTCACCCCCTTCTATTGACTTACACAGTAATTATGACAACTTCCAGAGGACGTCCTCCAACTTATCAGAGCTCTTGCAGCATGAACTGACATGTTGTCCACCCAATCAAAGGATCAGAGAATGAATCTAGTACTGAAAGCATAAGCTACATCTAGCTAGCACTGCAGTGCATAAAATGTGTTGAGTAGTTGACTCAAAGACAGAGAAAGACAATAGTTGAACAGTTTTTAACAAATTTAATTTCTTCCAAAATGAAGGAGAAGCAAGAGAGAGATAGAGAGAGAAATTGTATTTTCTTTCACTTTCAGTTTCACTTACTTAGCTAGCAAATGCAGCTAGCTAGTTTAGGCTACTCAAACACCCTGCTCAAACAGAGGGTTGCCATGTTAGCTAGCTGGCTATGACTATCCACCCTGCTCAAACAGAGGGATGCCATGTTAGCTAGCTGGCTATGACTATCCACCCTGCTCAAACAGAGGGTTGCCATGTTAGCTAGCTGGCTATGACTATCCACCCTGCTCAAACAGAGGGATGCCATGTTAGCTAGCTGGCTATGACTATCCACCCTGCTCAAACAGAGGGTTGCCATGTTAGCTAGCTGGCTATGACTATCCAACACAACACTGGAACTCTTCCGAGTCAAGGTAAGCTTTTGGTTTTACAAATGTATTGCCACCGGGGCCTGTGCGAAACTGCTTTCTGACTGCACGCTGTAACGTTACTGCATGATTGTAGCAGGTTTACTAACACGTTAGTTCTATTAGCAATATTGACTATGACGTTTATTTTAGCTAATATGGTGACAACGATGTAGGCTGTGTGTAGCAGTTAATGATATGGTTTGGCTTGGAAAGTTTTTTTTTTTGCCTGGTCACATACAGCTGATTAATGATATGGTTTGGCTTGGTTGAGGCTACTGTAGACCTTCATTGCAAAATAGCTAAAAAGGTTATCATAGGGTTTTTGCTGTACATTGAAGTCCACAAGCGAAGTGAAAAGGTGAGAGGAAGAGAGCGCATAGATGCAGGAAGGAATACAACGTGGCTGCTATGAAAGTCAACTGTGTTTACGTGTGATCAGGGGTGTGTTCATTCCGCAGATTCTGTTGAATAACGTTTCTTAAACGGGAACAAATGGAGATAAAAATACCTGAATTTGTCCAATAGAAACTCTTGTTTGCAACAGTTGGACTAATGATTACACCCTATGTCAGCTAGATGAAGGCAATAGTGTGCAAGGCGGTATTGAATGTGTCACTGTCTGCACCTACGTTGTAAACTTTCATTCATAGGCTAGGTTGTAGCAACCCCATGATGGGTACAGGGAAAATGTGAGTCTCATGTAGTAGCCTAAACCTATCGATGTTACATTGAACTGGGTGAATGAAAATATGAATGACAGTCATCCAACATGCTGTAATAGAAATAAGGCCATGCTCATTTAAAAACAATGTGTCCTTTTAAACGGCACTGACTGCCACTGGAGTGTGTTTGTGTGTGTGTTTGTTTCTTTGTGTGTGTATGTGTGTGTGTGTGTGTGTGTGTGTGTGTGTGTGTGTGTGTGTTTGTGTGTGTATAATAATAATAATAAAATCATAATTTGGTGGGTGCTTGTATTTGTCCTTTTCAGGTATGTATTAATACTCATGTGTGAATTGGAAATGTGATTTTTTGCATGTGTGTGTTTTACTGTGACTCTGTGTCTGATTCTAGAACCGGTGGATTGAATGAGGATGTGGACTGGACCTGGTAAGAAACAAGTTATGTTTGCTAAGCACATCTGACCGATGTCTCTTACTGTAGAATGTGCCTCAGCCCAAGATAGAATAGACTGAATTGAGACGATTGGTAGACCTCTCCTATTCGTTCTCTCTGTTCTGTCCTCTTCTTTCTCTCTCTCTCTCCTCTCTCCTCTCTTCCTCCTCTCTCTTCTTCTCTCTCGATCCTGTCCAACTCTCCGTGTACTTCTTCCCTCTCTTCTCTCTCTCTCTCTCTCTCGTCTCTCTCTTCTCTCTCTCTTCTCTCTCTTTTTTTTCTCCCCTCTTTTTCTCTTTTCTTTTGCAGGTATGATGTTCTGTCTCCAGGGAGATGCAAGGCAATACCATCCCCAATGGCTCCCTTTCTGTCTCTTCTCTCTCCCCCTCTCCCCTTTTCCGGGTATTGTTTTTGTCCCCAAATGAGGAACAAAATACCCTCCCATTATTTTTGGTTTCCTGTCTCTCTCTCTCTCTCTCTCTCTCTCTCTCTCTGCGGGTATGATGTTCTGTCTCCAGGGGAGATGCAGAGGCTAATACCATACCAATGGCTGACTTCCTGTCTCTCTCTCTCTCTCTCTGCGGGTATGATGTTCTGTCTCCAGGGGAGATGCAGAGGCTAATACCCTACCAATGGCTGACTTCCTGTCTCTCTCTCTCTCTCTCTCTCTCTGCGGGTATGATGTTCTGTCTCCAGGGGAGATGCAGAGGCTTTGCTTTGCCCGCCTCTTCTACCTGCAGCCTAAATACGCAGGTCTATACCCTACCCATATTAGCTTAAATGCTACGCTAACCATAGGATCTAATACAACAACGCTAATCATACATGTCACTAACCGTCCTGTCCCAGTGTTGGACAAGGTGACCAGTGTGTTGACAGGGGCAGAGGGACAGGTGTACCGAACCTGTAAGCAGCAGGGAATGACCCTGGTCAGCCTGGGACACCGCAGCAGCCTGGAGAAGGTACACAAGTTGACATAAGCTTTTCTGGGGGGTTATGACTGTTCTATGATGGGTTATGAATGTGTTGTGTACTACTTGTGAATGTGATACGTTATGGGTTATGCATGTGTTATGTTCTGCTTATGAATGTGTAATGTAAAGGTTACTTAATCATTATAATACATATTTTAATTGTATGAATATGTTATGTAAGGGTTATGAATGTGTTATGTATGTGTTATGAAGGGTTATGAATGTGTTATGTATGTGCTATGAATAATTATTAATGTGTTATAAATGTGTTATGAAGGGTTTTGAATGTGTTATGAATGTGCTATGAAGGGTTATGAATGTGTTATGAAGGGTTATGAATGTGTTATGAATGTGTTATGAAGTCCCCTCTTTGTGTTCCCCGCTTTTGACACTGTGTGGAGGAGGGCGTTGGGAGCTGACCCAGCTAAAAGTTGCTACACGCTTTCACTCTGTCAATAGGCTGAGAAAGGACTGACCACTGGCCCTGCAGTGTCTGACATCAAGGCCTCATCCCAATTACCTACCCTTCCTCCCAAAGTGAGCACTTGATTTGAAAGGAAATTACTATTATAAGAAATGGGGAAACTCCCTCATGCCTCCACCAATACAAAGCTTTTAGATTTGTGGGAAGTAGTGAACGACTGTACACTTCAGGAGAAAGGAGATGTTATTGGGACGCACCAACGTAACTCTCCCCTAGTGATCATAAAGGGGAGGAGACTAGGAAGGGACTGGGAAGGAAAATATTTAAGAGGAAGGAGTCCAGTATTCTAATATATTTTGCCATGCAGTGCTACCCAAGCAACTAGAGAAAATGAGACTAGGAAGGGAAGGAGGGAAGGAGACTAGAAAGATAAGCCAGAAGAGCCAGAGGAATATTGTGAATAAATCAATGCTGCTGGAATCAGTGGTAGGCCTATATGTATAGTACAATACATATGTCTCTTTTAATTGATTTCTCTTTTAAAATATTATTAAAGTTGTCTTTAAAAAAAGAAAGAGAAAAAAAGAAGATTAATCTCTTCAAATATATGATCATAATATACAGTATAATATGCATTACCACAGTCACAAAAGCACACATTGTGTTGATTCAAGTTGTCCACTAGATGGCAGCGTGCATTTTAGAACAGTTGAACGTCATGCATTCTTTTTCTACTGTTTTAATAATAATATGCCATTTAGCAGACGCTTTTATCCAAAGCGACTTACAGTCATGCGTGCATACATTTTTGTGTATGGGTGGTCGCGGAGATCGAACCCACTACCTTGGCGTTACAAGCGCCGTGCTCTACCAGCTGAGCTACAGTTTTCCCCAAAATGTAAACAAAGCAAAACTTCCACACTCCGAAGATCTTTTCCCACAAGTCTAGTTACTGTAGCTAGTGATATAACACATCGGGTGACGACGGAGGCAAAGAAGAATGGTTAATTTGTTTTTGACGACCGCAAAGTAAAGGCACAGATAGAACAATGAGCCAGATGTTTCACCGGATGTATAAATCTGAAGCATCCGGTTGGCATTTCCACCCGTCACCAAATTTGGTAATGTGAGGAAGCCCAGTGGCGGGCAGTGGGAGAGGATGGCGCGAGATGGATTTTGTCCGACATTCTGCACATTGTCTCATCAATGAAACATTTATCTCAATACAGTTTTCTGTTCCGAAAATTAGAATATTTTACGAACAGAGTGGACTAAGTTTTGTAGACATTACCCTTTGCCAAAGTTTTTAAAAAATGCCGTTGTTTAGAAGGTGTGCAAGGGCGAATCGCGTTATTGCACACAGATTAGGCGTTCCCTAACGGAAATATGCTAATAAATGCTAGAACGCACCAATAGCATCTCGCTAGCTCCTGCTTGGCTCTGCCCACCTCCTCGTTGTTCTGCCCACTATGATTAATTTGCTACCATTGGAAACGACAGGCTGTTGTTTATCTTGGGTTAGTAATAAACCAACCGTACATTGAAATTGTTGCAGCTTGCTTCCTGGTTCGTTTCTACTTCTGCGGTGGTCTTGCTGGGACTGTCACATGCCAGGTAGTAGTTGTGAAATCACTGCACTGATATCGCCAGTGAGCTTGTACTAGTCACAAAATAACCTACTGTGACTTTCTTTGGCTACTACTGTGCAGATGCCACCACTGGCAAGGGCGAGTGGCAAAGGGACAAAAAGGTAAGTGCATTTAATAATTGGCACAGCGTCATGAAAGGTGATACATTGGTCCAAATGCATCCGCTGGCTGCTGGTGTGTGTGTGTGTGTGTGTGTGTGTATTGGCTTGATGTTTTATAGTGATTATATGGACTATTTCAGTTCGTCGACATTGACAATAGAATATTGATATATTTACATAGCAGGCTCCATAATGTACATAGCTAATCTATTACGGCTGGACCTGTTGCGATGCCTTGTCATGAGCAGAAATGTTCATGTTCAGTTCAGCTAGCCAAAGCAATAGTCTACTATTAGCTGCTGGGAACTCCTGTTTGACCAGCTCACGGTGTTTTGAGATGGGTAGCTGGTATGGTGCTAGTAGCTGGTTGGATCAGCTAAAACCAGCTCTGACCACCTCCCAGCTCTAGCTGGTTTGACCATCTACTATGACAGGACCCACAAAACATGTAGCTTATGATTTGAACTCTGGTTCCTAATACATGTGTATAACATTTCTCTCTCTCTCTGTCTGTCTGTCTGTGTGTGTGTGTGTGTGTGTGTGTGTGTGTGTGTGTGTGTGTGTGTGTGTGTGTGTGTGTGTGTGTGTGACCGAGAAGGCCCAAACTAGACTGGAGGTTTGTCCAGAGGTTCTGCAGCATCCAGAGGGTTCTCTTCCCATCATGGTCCAGTCAGAACGTACTGATGTTGGGGACGTTGGTGGGAGTCACACTCACAGGTGTGGTCAGCTTTTAAGTGATGGGTCACGTTATGTTCACAAGTGAATGGGAAAGATAGGCACCATCTTAACTAATGAAATGAGACTGTGCCTATTCATACGGGGTTGAGGTAAACAGTATACTCCAATAAAGTGATTAGTGATCAAACGAGTGTGGGAGAGATCAGTAAATGGTGTGGTTGGCAAGAGAAGTGGGCGGCAGGTATCTTAGTGGGTAAGAGCGTTGTGCCAGTAACCGAAAGGTCGCTGGTTCTAATCCCCGAGCCGACTAGGTGAAAAATCTGTCGATGTGCCCCTTGAGCAAGGCACTTAACCCTAATTGCTCCTGTAAGTCGCTCTGGATAAGAGCGTCTGCTAAATGACTAAAATAAAATAAATAAATAAATAAGTAATGATGTCCACAAGAATGTGCCCTATCTGCCCCCTAGATAAATGAAGACGTATTGGGTGAACTGAAGACAACATCAGTCAGGTTATTAGGTTAACCTCTCTATATTGACTGATGGCTGTCAAACCCTCAGGAGCTTAGTGCTCTTGATATCAGATAGAGGAAGGGGGTTACGTTTGCAAGACTATTGATGACTATTGTATTGTTCTCTAAGTGACTTTTATCTATGAATCAATCACACAGGCACAATGCAAGGCTGCAGCTAGGGTTGCAAAATCTTTATCACTTTAAAATAAAGTTCCCCTGTTTTTTTTTCAAAAATCCTAGCTGGAATATTCCTGGAATCTGAAGGGAATAAGCATAAGCTTTCTAAGATTTCTGGAAAAACTGGGTATTTTTGTGAAGTTATGGGCCTTTTTGCAAGCCTAACTAAAGCCTTATCTCTTCAAGAGATGAGCTGCACCTGTTTCTTTTGTTTTACAAGCCACGTCTAAGCAAATGGCAGTAAATTCCCTTTTATAGTGCACTACTTTTGACCAGAACCCTTGTCAAAAGTAGTGCACTATAAAGGGAATAAGGTGCAATTTGAGACGCAGCCTCACAGTTTGCCGACTCATCTTCTCTCTCCTCAGAACAGCTGATCATTTACCAAGTGGGAGTCATTCCCAGTCAGTTCTATGAGGTCCTATCTGACAAGGACTATGGAGCGTTCAAGAACCTCGCAGGGTTGGCCTTCCTGCTTATACTGCTCAACTCCACGGTGAGTAGTTCACTAGTTCTCAAGAGCGTCGACCAGTTCCCTAGTTCTCAAGAGCGTCGACCAGTTGCCACCTTCACCAGTGCAATCAACCTGAAGCCATTTTTATTTGATAACTTTTTATACTCACACCAACCCATTCACGTTTTACCCCAGCTGACAACAAACGATCCCACAACTTTAGAGAACGTTGCCTAACGTTTTCATAGGAATGTCCCAGTGATGTGCAAGGACTGTTTCCAAGAGGCCATTCCCTTAATGTCAAACAGAACAGACAAAGAGCTGTGAATGGATCAGTGGTTCACCAATCAGGGCCTAGATGGGCTTGGCAACAGTAACAAGGGGTGATGTGTAATGAAGAAAAAACTAATCTGGGGGAAAATGTCTCTTGGGGACCATCAGCGACGTCCTAAAAATGTCTTTAGGGACGTCACCGGAACATGTCGGGAACTAGACTGTCACGATCGTCTAAGGAAGCGGACCAAGGCGCAGCGTGTTTAGCGAACATGTTGACTTTATTAAATTAAAGCAACCACGAAACAACAAAACAAATGACGATACGTGAAGTCCAAAAGTGACAATGACTGAACAGGAACAAAAACCCACAAACACAAGGTGAACACAGACAGTTTAAATATGGCTCCCAATCAGAGATAACGAGCCGACAGCTGACACTCGTTACCTCCGATTGGGAGTCACTTGACCAAACACGGAAAACACAACCAATGACAACCCAACCACACAAAACACAACCAAACGAACACACCCTGGCTCAAAATACAAAGTCCCGGAGCCAGAGCGTGACAGTACCCCCCCCTAAAGGCGCGGACTGCGACCGCGCCTCAAAAACCCCAAACAGGGGAGGGCTGGGTGGGCATTACTCCTCGGAGGCGGCTCCGGCTCCGGGCTTGACCACCACCCTTCTTCAATCCCCCCGTAGCGCCCCCGGTCCGATCTGACCCAGCTGGTAGGATCTGGACTGACGACGCGCACCCCTGGCTTGGCGCGTGAGGCAGGAACGGACCGGACCTGACAGACGATACGCACCCTAGGCTTGATGCGTGGAGCCGGAACGGGCCTCACCAGGCTGACGACTCGCATCCCTGGCTTGGTGCGAGTAGTAGGAATGGGCTGGATCAGGCTGACGGCTCGCACCCTTGGCTTGGTGCGAGTAGCAGGGACGAGCTGAACCAGGCTGACGACTCGCACCCTTGGCTTGGTGCGAGTAGCAGGAACGGGCTGGACCAGGCCGACGACTCGTACCCCTGGCTTGGTGCGAGTAGCAGGAACGGGCTGGACCAGGCTGACGACTCGCACCCTTGGCTTGGTGCGAGTAGCAGGAACGGGCTGGACCAGGCTGACGACTCGCACCCTTGGCTTGGTGCGAGTAGCAGGAAACAGGTCGGGCTGGGCTGGCGACGCACACCGTAGGTTTTGTGCGTGGAGCAGGAACAGGCCGGGCTGGGCTGGCGACGCACACCGTAGGTTTTGTGCGTGGAGCAGGAACAGGCCGGGCTGGGGCTGGCGACGCACACCGTAGGTTCTGTGCGTGGAGCAGGAACAGGCCGGGCTGGGCTGGCGACGCACCCCGTAGGCTTGGTGCGTGGAGCAGGGATAGGCCGGGCTGGGTTGGCAACGCACACCGTAGGCTTAGTGCGAGGAGCAGGAACAGGCCGGGCTGGGCTGGCGACGCACCCCGTAGGCTTGGTGCGTGGAGCAGGGATAGGCCGGGCTGGGTTGGCAACGCACACCGTAGGCTTAGTGCGAGGAGCAGGAACAGGCCGGGCAGGGCTGCCGACGCACCCCATAGGTTTGGTGCGTGGAGCAGGAACAGGCCGGGCTGGGCTGGCGACGCACACCATAGGCTTTGTGCGTGGAACAGGAACAGGCCGGGTTGGGCTGGCGACGCACCCCGTAGGCTTGGTGCGTGGAGCAGGAACAGGCCGGGCTGGGCTGACGACGCACACCGTAGGCTTGATGCGAGAGGCAGGAACAGGCCGGACAGGCCTGGCGACGCACACCGTAGGCTTGATGCGAGAGGCAGGAACAGGCCGGGCTGGGCTGGCGACGCGCACCGTACACTTAGTGCGGGAAGCAGGAACGAGCCGGGCCGGGCTGGCGACGTGCACCGTACACTTAGTGCGGGAAGCAGGAACGAGCCGGACCGGACTGGTGACGCACACCACTTGCTTGGTGTGAGGAGCGGGACTGGGTTTCCTCATTACCCTCCGCTCCCTCAGCTGCCTACCGAGTTCCTCTCGCCGTGCCTCGTTTCTCACCCTTTCCCTAATCGCCTCTAATAGCTCCATCCTCTGCCACATTAACTCCTGCTCCCTCTTCGCCAGTAGCCCCCTTAACCTGGTGGCCTCCTCACCTAATCGCCCTGTGGCAGCCTCCTGCTGCCCAGTCGCCCATGCCGTGTGCCCCCCCCTAAAAAATTCTTGGGGGTGCCTCTCGTCCGTCCAACGATGGCACTGCTGACGCCGCTGCTCCTCTCTTGTCCAGTCTGCCTGCTCCTGGACACGCTGCTTGGTCCTTTTTAGGTGGGTTTTTCTGTCACGATCGTCTAAGGAAGCGGACCAAGGCGCAGCGTGTTTAGCGAACATGTTGACTTTATTAAATTAAAGCAACCACGAAACAACAAAACAAATGACGATACGTGAAGTCCAAAAGTGACAATGACTGAACAGGAACAAAAACCCACAAACACAAGGTGAACACAGACAGTTTAAATATGGCTCCCAATCAGAGATAACGAGCCGACAGCTGACACTCGTTACCTCCGATTGGGAGTCACTTGACCAAACACGGAAAACACAACCAATGACAACCCAACCACACAAAACACAACCAAACGAACACACCCTGGCTCAAAATACAAAGTCCCGGAGCCAGAGCGTGACATAGACGAAAACCTCCAAGTGACCTTGACAGAATGTCCTATGTTTTAAACGTCCTTGGACACAGGAACGTTCTTCCAATGTTCCAATGAAACGTGTCTAGAACATTAATATATGATATTCTGAGAACATGGCAACTATTGTCTGTGTATGGTTTGGTGTGACGGATGGACAATTCGCCTAACCCTCCGAAAACTGGACACATTAATGTTCTCTGTAGCTCAGCTGGTAGAGCACGGCGCTTGTAACGCCAGGGTAGTGGGGTCGATCCCCGAAACCACCCATACGTAAAAATGTATGCGCACATGACTGTAAGTCGCTTTGGATAAAAGCGTCTGCTAAATGGCATATTATTATATATTATTATTCTCGTAACATCCCATGAAATTAATTAATATTAATATTTTATATATTAATGTTAATAATGTCTAGAACATTAACATAGAATATTATGAGAACATGGTAACCACGTTCTGGGTATGTTTTGTTTGACATTGAGGGAATGTTCTCCTAACTCTTAACGCCAAAACATGCTCAATAGGTTCTCTGGTGGTTTTTGCTAACATACATAGAATGTTCCCCTAACTAACGGAAAACTGGACACTCACACATCAAAAAATGTTCTATCCACCTAGAATTGTTAGCTGGGAGTCTGGGACCATGCTGAAAGGGACTGACTACAATGTCAGCAAATACACTTCATTGACTGCTGTGTGACTGTTTTATGAGGTCAGGTCATTCCAATCTCACTGTGTGTCATAGGACCTGCCCTGAAAGTGCACTGTCATTGAGTAATCTAGGTGAAGTTGTCATTCAGGAATTGGGAATCAAGGGAGAAATTGTGTTAACTCAGCTGGACTGAACTTCATAAGTTACAAAATCAGCTATTTTCTGAATGTGAAGATTCGACTTATTGTCTTGAAATTCACCCAACCAATTTGAATACAGGCTAAATACATGTTTCTCTCTCTCTCTCTCTCTCCTAGTTGAAGAGTGTGGACCAGTATATCTGCAGTGTGATGTCTGTGAGTTGGAGGAAGTCTTTAACAGAGAGTCTCCACAGAGCTTACTTCCAGGGCAGGGTCTACTACTCACTCAACGTGCTCAGAGAGGACATCGATAACCCGTACGCACACACACACACGCACGCACGCACGCACGCACGCACGCACGCACACACACACACACACACACACACACACACACTGACATAGTCTCAACCTCTCCTCTCTCAATCATTAGACAATTTACAGATTTGAAGTGCGTGTGTGTTTTTGCGTCCGTCTGATTTAAATGTGTGTGTGTTTCCAGAGACCAGCGGATCAGTCAGGACACAGAGAGGTTATGTAAACAGATGAGTACCATGGCCAGCAGACTGATCATCTCTCCATTCACCCTGGTCTACTACACCTACCAATGTTACTACAGGTTAGTACCCTGATCTACTACACCTACCAATGTTACTACAGGTTAGTACCCTGATCTACTACACCTACCAATGTTACTACAGGTTAGTACCCTGGTCTACTACACCTACCAATGTTACTACAGGTTAGTACCCTGATCTACTACACCTACCAATGTTACTACAGGTTAGTACCCTGATCTACTACACCTACCAATGTTACTACAGGTTAGTACCCTGATCTACTACACCTACCAATGTTACTACAGGTTAGTACCCTGATCTACTACACCTACCAATGTTACTACAGGTTAGTACCCTGGTCTACTACACCTACCAATGTTACTACAGGTTAGTACCCTGGTCTACTACACCTACCAATGTTACTACAGGTTAGTACCCTGATCTACTACACCTACCAATGTTACTACAGGTTAGTACCCTGATCTACTACACCTACCAATGTTACTACAGGTTAGTACCCTGGTCTACTACACCTACCAATGTTACTACAGGTTAGTACCCTGGTCTACTACACCTACCAATGTTACTACAGGTTAGTACCCTGATCTACTACACCTACCAATGTTACTACAGGTTAGTACCCTGATCTACTACACCTACCAATGTTACTACAGGTTAGTACCCTGGTCTACTACACCTACCAATGTTACTACAGGTTAGTACCCTGGTCTACTACACCTACCAATGTTACTACAGGTTAGTACCCTGGTCTACTACACCTACCAATGTTACTACAGGTTAGTACCCTGATCTACTACACCTACCAATGTTACTACAGGTTAGTACCCTGATCTACTACACCTACCAATGTTACTACAGGTTAGTACCCTGATCTACTACACCTACCAATGTTACTACAGGTTAGTACCCTGATCTACTACACCTACCAATGTTACTACAGGTTAGTACCCTGATCTACTACACCTACCAATGTTACTACAGGTTAGTACCCTGGTCTACCTATGAGGTACTAAGCTCCTCAGTCTGATTTGAATTGGGAAATTGTCATTGAATAAATTTGCATAGACATGACATGGATTAGTACTAATGTTGATATGTTAATTGGTAAGGTTTGGTATGTGGTTAGCATGGAAAGCAACAGAATAGGTTAGGTTTGGTATGTGGTTAGCATGGAAAGGTTAGCTGACAAAAAAAGAGATGTATGAATTTTCTATCCATCATTCATGTCCCAATCGTCTCCCCTAATCCCCCTCAATCTCCGCCCTTTCCCCCCTCATCTACCACTGTCACACCTCCATGTCCCCTAATTCCTGCGGACGCTCCATCTCCCCCTTTCCCCCCCTCCATCTACCCCATACCTTATCCCCCTCCATCTCCCCTCATCCCCATCTCTCCTCTCCCCCTCCATCCTCCCCTCATCCCCTCCATCTCTCACCCCTCATCCCCTCCATCTCCATCTGCCCCCTCCATCGTCCCCCTCATCCCCTCCATCTCCCCCATCTATCCCCATCCATCCCATCTCACCCCCTAACCCACCCTCCACCCCCACCCTCTCCCCCTCAATCCCCACTCCATCTCACCCTATCCCCCCAGCAACCCAGCTGACCCCCCAATAACCCCCCTCCATCTCCACCCCATCCCCATCACATACCCCATCCCCCTCCACCCGCCCCTCATGCGCCACCACGACCACTCACCAGCCCTCAACATACTACCCCTCATGCCCCCCCATCCATCTCCATCTCCCCCTCCATCTCCCCCTTCATCTCCCTCTCATCCCCCCTCCATCTCCCCCTCCATCTCCCCCTTCATCTCCCCCTCCATCCCCCTCTCCTGCTCTTACCCCTCTCCCCTGTAGCACTGGCTGGATCGGTCCTGTTAGTATCTTTGGCTACTTCATAGTCGGGACTATCACCAATAAAATCCTCATGGGGCCAATTGTGTCAACTCTGTTTGAACAGGAGAAACTGGAGGGAGACTTCAGGTACAGGAATGATATATACACCCTCTCTGTTTGTATGTAATTGGCAAACATACTGCCAAATGTGTTACCTTGTAATATTATAGATAAATAGGATATGGGACATGATGTGCTGTCATTTCACGTGACATTTTTAAGTGAAGTGACCTCTGACGTGACTTTGGGTTTTTACTTCCAGGTTCAAGCACATGCAAATCCGGTCCAACGCAGAGTCTGCTGCCTTCTACAGGTCAGTGAAACACAAGTGAGCCACATGGGTTGGACTGTGATATGATCTATCCGTCTTGTGTCTATGCATTAAGATTTAGTGGTCTGTGCTGTTGGAGCTGAATACAGAGCTGGTAAGACTTAGAAAGGTAAATCAAATCAAATTTTATTGGCCACATGCGCCGAATACAACAGGTGCAGACATTACAGTGAAATGCTTACTTACAGCCCTTAACCAACAGTGTATTTATTTTTAATAAAAAAAGTAGAATAAAACAACAAAAAAGTGTTGAGAAAAAAAGAGCAGAAGTAAAATAAAATAACAGTAGGGAGGCTATATATACAGGGGGGTACCGTTGCAGAGTCAATGTGCGGGGGCACCGGCTAGTTGAGGTAGTTGAAGTAATATGTACATGTGGGTAGAGTTAAAGTGACTATGCATAAATAATTAACAGAGTAGCAGCAGCGTAAAAGGGTGGGGGTGGGGGGGCAGTGCAAATAGTCTGGGTAGCCATGATTAGCTGTTCAGGAGTCTAATGGCTTGGGGGTAGAAGCTGTTGAGAAGTCTTTTGGAATACCTGTCAATTTGTGGAAAAATCACCCTGATGAACTCTTTAGTATTATCCCAGTTTACCTATTTGCTTATGGCTTTGCCTACGCCTAGCGAACAGTTTTTTAAATGATATGAGAAAAAAATATTCCATTTTATTTGGAACGGCAAGCCAGACAAAATTAAACAGGCCTATTTATATAATGAATATGAATTCGGAGGACAGAAATTATTAAATATTAAAGCAGTAGACCTATCACTAAAAGCTTCAGTCATACAAAAGTTATACTTAAATCCGAACTGGTTCTCTAGCAAATTAGTAAGATTGTCTCACCCAATGTTCAAGAATGGCCTTTTTACCTTTATTCAGATTACAACCTCTCACTTTCAGTTATTTGAAAAGGAGATCATCTCCCAAATATCACTATTTCTAAAACAAGCCATAGAAAGTTGGTTGCAATTCCAATTTAATCCTCCAGAAACGACAGAACAAATAATGCAACAAATATTGTGGTTAAACTCAAATATACTAATTGACAAAAACCCTTTTTTTTTTGACAACATAAAAAAAAAGGTATAATCTTTGTAAATGATATCATCGGTAGGACTGGTGGAGTTATGTCGCACATGCAGCTAACAAAAACATATGGAAATGTCTGCTCTACCCAAAATTACAACCAAATAATTGCAGCCTTACCACAAAAATGGAAGAGGAAAGTGGAAGTGGGAGAAAGTAAGGAACTTGTCTGTCGGCCTTGCAATTAAAGAACATAATTGGTTAAAGAAAACTGTGATAAATAAAAAAGTATATCAGTGTAATTTAAGGACCAAAGGATTGACAGCCGTCCCATATAGATTGCAAAATAGTTGGGAAGAGATTTTTGACGTACCGATCCCATGGCATAGTGTTTATGAACTGATACGCAAAACGACACCGGATTCAAAACTTATAATCTTTCTATTTAAATTATTATATAAAATTCTTGCTACCAACATAATGTTATTTATATGGGGGATACAATCTTCCCAGCTCTGCAGATTTTGCTGCGAAGAGACAGAATCATTAGATCATTTGTTTTGGTACTGTCCATTTGTAGCTTGTTTTTGGTCACAGGTCCAGGAATGGCTAAAGGATTGCAATATTTACCTGGAGCTAACCCTGCAGATAGCATTACTGGGTGATCTGAAAAGTCATAGTCAATCAATCAATAACATAATAATACTTTTAGCAAAAATGTTTATTTTCGGTTCGCAATCTGTAGAAACAATGATAATAGAAAGGTTCAGAACTTTTGTAAGACATCACAGTACAGTTGAAATATATATGGCAAATAGAAATCCTATAAGGATGGTGTTAAAAGATAGATGGGAGGTGTTGAATGGAATTGAAGGATGGGACTAATAACAACTAACAACAAATAATAACAAGATAACTAATAATGTAAGCATACTGTGTCCATAATAAGTATATAGGTTGTAGGTTGGGAGCTTTTGTGAAAGAGCACAGTTAGAAAGATATGGCATATAGAAGCGAACCGGATGGACATCATGAAAATGATCGGAGAGGTTGAGAGTAGAGGAAGTTCAGGAGAAAAAAACAAACAAAATATAATGATTGTAAAATTGACTGTGTCCATAAAATGTAGATAGTAGGTATAAGCTGGAAGTAGAGGCCTAAGCATTGTTGTTCACTAGTTTACTCCAAGTAGGGAAGGGGTGGTGGGGTTGGAAAGTAATAAAGGGGAATATATATATATTTTTAAAGGATATGTATGTGTATGTATGTATGTATGTATGTGTGTATATATATATATATATATATATATATATATATATATATATACATGGGGGATTGGAAGTGATGCAGACAATTTCATTGATGGAAGTTACAATCTATCTGCAATATGAAGCTGATCTACCCCCCCCAAAAAAAAAAAATACTTAGTGGTCTGTGCTGTTGAACCTGAATACAGAGCTGGTAAGGTGGAACACATGAGGACAGACAGGAGACTGCAGACCCTGCTGCGCTGCCAGAAGAGTCTGATGAACAAAGAACTCTGGCTGTACAGTAAGGACACACACCTGCATGTACACACACACACACACACACACACACACACACACACACGTACGTCTGATTGTGTTTAAAATGACATTTGAGTTCTCTAGAATTCTCCAAATGCAAATGGTGGGATCTAAACAACTCTTTTCTCCCCTCTCCTCCTCTCCTCTGTTCTGCTGTCCTCTCCTCTCTCAGTTGGAGTGAACACCTTTGACTACCTGGGTGGTATCCTCAGCTACATTGTTATCTCCATCCCCATCTTCACTGGTGTTTATGACAACCTCAGTCCAGGGGAGCTCAGTGCTCTCATCAGTAAGGTACAGTAGTCCAGGGGAGCTCAGTGCTCTCATCAGTAAGGTACAGTAGTCCAGGGGAGCTTAGTGCTCTCATCAGTAAGGTACAGTAGTCCAGGGGAGCTCAGTGCTCTCATCAGTAAGGTACAGTAGTCCAGGGGAGCTCAGTGTCCTCATCAGTAAGGTACAGTAGTCCAGGGGAGCTCAGTGCTCTCATCAGTAAGGTACAGTAGTCCAGGGGAGCTCAGTGCTCTCATCAGTAAGTTACAGTAGTCCAGGGGAGCTCAGTGCTCTCATCAGTAAGGTACAGTAGTCCAGGGGAGCTCAGTGCTCTCATCAGTAAGGTACAGTAGTCCAGGTGACAGTGTCCTCATCAGTAAAGTACAGTAGTCCAGGGGACAGTGTCCTCATCAGTAAGGTACAGTAGTCCAGGGGAGCTCAGTGCTCTCATCAGTAAGGTACAGTAGTCCAGGGGACAGTGTCCTCATCAGTAAAGTACAGTAGTCCAGGGGACAGTGTCCTCATCAGTAAGGTACAGTAGTCCAGGGGACAGTGTCCTCATCAGTAAGGTACAGTAGTCCAGGGGACAGTGTCCTCATCAGTAAGTTACAGTAGTCCAGGGGAGCTCAGTGTCATCATCAGTAAGGTACAGTAGTCCAGGGGACAGTGTCCTCATCAGTAAGTTACAGTAGTCCAAGGGAGCTCAGTGTCCTCATCAGTAAGGTACAGTAGTCCAGGGGAGCTCAGTGCTCTCATCAGTAAGGTACAGTAGTCCAGGTGACAGTGCTCTCATCAGTAAGGTACAGTAGTCCAGGGGACAGTGTCCTCATCAGTAATGTACAGTAGTCCAGGGGACAGTGTCCTCATCAGTAATGTACATTAGTCTAGGGGACAGTGTCCTCATCAGTAAGGTACAGTAGTCCAGGGGAGCTCAGTGCTCTCATTAGTAAGGTACAGTAGTCCAGGGGACAGTGTCCTCATCAGTAAGTTACAGTAGTCCAGGGGAGCTCAATGTCCTCATCAGTAAGGCACAGTAGTCCAGGGGACAGTGTCCTCATCAGTAAGGTACAGTAGTCCAGGGGACAGTGTCCTCATCAGTAAGTTACAGTAGTCCAGGGGAGCTCAGTGTCCTCATCAGTAAGGTACAGTAGTCCAGGGGAGCTCAGTGCTCTCATCAGTAAGGTACAGTAGTCCAGGGGACAGTGTCCTCATCAGTAAGGTACAGTAGTGCAGGGGAGCTCAGTGCTCTCATCAGTAAGGTACAGTAGTCCAGGGGAGCTCAGTGCTCTCATCAGTAAGTTACAGTAGTCCAGGGGACAGTGTCCTCATCAGTAAGGTACAGTAGTCCAGGGGAGCTCAGTGTCCTCATCAGTAAGTTACAGTAGTCCAGGGGACAGTGTCCTCATCAGTAAGGTACAGTAGTCCAGGGGAGCTCAGTGCTCTCATCAGTAAGGTACAGTAGTCCAGGGGACTGTCACTATCTTTTCCCCTCTCTCTCCACAGTTGACTTGTTGTCTCTGTGGTCCTCTGTGGTCCTCTGTGGTCCTCTGTAGCTCAGCTGGTAGAGCACGGCGCTTGTAACGCCAAGGTAGTGGGTTCGATCCCCGGGACCACCCATACACAAAAAAAAAAAGAATGTATGCACGCATGACTGTAAGTCGCTTTGGATAAAAGCGTCTGCTAAATGGCATATTATTATTGTCTCTATGCCCTCAGTATTGTCATTACAGCCTCTGTCCTCTGGGTGGCAGTATATAATGTACCATCTGATTTACTTTAAAAAGGTCTCTGTATGTAATGTCCTGTCCTGGACAGGAAGAGAACAGAGCAGGTGTATAGGTTCAAGGAGTTCCTGAACTGGGGGACCTTTATACTCCTTTTGTCAATACTTTCTCTTATTCTGCCTTGCAGTGTTTGACCCCATAGTCACAAATCTCTCTCTCTTCCTCTGTCTCTCTCTCTTCCTCTGTCTCTCTCTCTCTTCCTCTGTCTCTCTCTCTTCCTCTGTCTCCCTCTCTCTTCCTCTGTCTCTCTCTCTCCTCTTCTCTCTCTCTCTTCTCTGTCTCTCTCTCCTCTGTCTCTCTCTCTCTTCTCCTCATGTATCTCTTCTCTCTTCTCTGTCTCTCTCTCTCTTCTCTGTCTCTCTCTCTCTTCTCTGTCTCTCTCCTCCTTCCTCTGTGCTATCTTATTTCCTCTGTGTCTCTCTCTTCTTCTCTGTCTCTCTTCTCTTTCTCTGTCTCTCCTCTTCCTCTGTCTTCTCTCTCTTCCTTGTTCTCAATCTTCTTCTCTGTATCTCTCTCTCTTCCTCTGTCTCTCTATCTCTTTACTGTTCTCTTCTCTTCCTCTGTCTCTCTCTCTCTTCCTCTGTCTCTCTCTCTCTTCCTCTGTCTCTCTCTCTCTTCCTCTGTCTCTCTCTCCTCTTCCTCTGTCTCTATCTCTCTTCCTCTGTCTCTCCCTTTCCCAGAATGCCTTTGTATGTATCTACTTGATAAACTGCTTTACTCAGCTAATAGACATCTCACCACTTGTCAGACGTGGCTGGATACACCCACAGGTAACATTACGCATACTCATCAAACATGTGTGTGTGTGTGTGTGAGTGTGTGTGTGTGTGTGTGTGTGTGTTGTGTGTGTGTGTGTGTGTGTGTGTGGTGTGGTGTGTGTGTGTGTGTGCGCGCTTGCGTGTGTGTGTGTTGTGTGTGTGGTGTGTGTGTGAGTGTGTGTGTGTGAGTGTGTGTGTGTTGTGTGTGTGTGTGTGTGTGTGTGTGTGGTGTGAGTGATTGAGTGTGAGTGTGGTGTGTGCGCAGCGTTGCGTGTGTGTGTGTGTGTGTGTGTGTGTGGTGTGTGTGTGTGTGTGTGTGTGTGTGTGTGTGTGGTGTGTGGAGAGTGTGGTGAGTGAGTGAGTGAGTGAGTGAGTGAGTGAGTGAGTGAGTGTGTGTGTGTGTGTGTGCGCGCTTGCGTGTGTGTGTGTGTGTGTGTGTGTGTGTGCGCGCTTGCGTGTGTGTGTGTGTGTGTGTGTGTGTGTGTGTGGTGAGTGTGTGTGTGCGCGCTTGCGTGTGTAGTAACACCCAGAAGCTCGTTGTCATTATGTGTGTGTGTGTGTTGTGTTCAGGATTGGAGAGCTGAGGGAAGTAATGGATGATATCTTGAGGACCCAGTGTGACTACGACCCCGCATCAGGAGATTCCTACGACTTTGACAGGTAAAAACAGCTGCAGTATGTTCCATTAAGATGGCTTCCATGCTCCAGAGTACTCAAACAGAGCACAGAAATGAGTTTTGAAGGTCGGATTACGAGTGCACAATCACAAAACGGAGAATGCTGAAAGGGACATAGCTAAAGATTCTCTCCTCTCCTACATGTGACATTTTTACAATTTAGTCATTTAGCAGAGATCGACTTACAGGAGCAATTAGGGTTAAGTGCCTTGCTCAAGGGCACATAGACCTTTGGGTTACTGGCACAATGCTCTTAACCACTAGGCTACCTGCTGCCTCCTCTTCAACGCTCTTCACCTCCCCCTCCCCTCCCCTCATCTCCCCTCCCCTCCCCTCCCCTCCCCTCATCTCCCCTCCCCTCCTCTCCCCTCGCCTTGCAGTGACAGGGTCCACGGTGGTCCAGCAGACACAGCCTTCATCCTGGACTGTGTGTCCTACAAGAGTCCCTTCTCTGAGCAGCTGCTGGTTGAAGAGCTGAGTCTCAAGATCAGCCAGGGCTCCCATCTGTTGGTGGTGGGGAACACAGGTAGGGATAGACAGGTATATTATAATATACAGGTAGAGGTAGACAGGTGTATTATAATATACAGGTAGAGGTAGACAGGTATATTATAATATACGGTAGAGGTAGACAGGTATATTATAATATACAGGTAGACGGTAGACAGGTATATTATAATATACGGTAGGGTAGACCGTATACTTATATATACGGTAGACAGGACAGGTTATTTAATATACAGTTAGGGGGAGACAGGTATTTATAATATACAGGTAGAGTAGACAGGTATATTATAATAGTACAGTAGGGTTGACAGGTATATTATAATTACAGGTAGGGGTAGACAGATATTATAATAGGTACAGTGTTATAAATACAGGTAGACGGACAGGTATATATATATACAGGTAGGGGTAGACAGGTATATTATAATATACAGGTAGGGTAGACAGGTATATTATAATATACAGGTAGGGGTAGACAGGTATATTATAATATACAGGTAGTGTTGGACAGGTATATTATAATATACAGGTAGGGGTAGACAGAATATACAGGTAGGGGTAGACAGGTATATTATAATATACAGGTAGACAGGACAGGTATAATATAATATACAGGTAGGTGGACAGGTATATTTAATATACAGGTAGGGGTAGACAGGTGTATTATAATACAGGTAGAGGTAGACAGTGTATTATAATATACAGGTAGACAGGACAGGTATATTATAATATACAGGTAGGGGTAGACATGTATATTATAATACACAGGTAGGGTAGACAGGTATATTATAATATACAGGTAGGGGTAGACAGGTATATTATAATACACAGGTAGGGGTAGACAGGTATATTATAATATACAGGAAGGGGTAGACAGGTATATTATAATATACAGGTAGAGGTAGACAGGTGTATTATAATATACAGGTAGAGGTAGACAGGTGTATTATAATATACAGGTAGACAGGACAGGTATATTATAATATACAGGTAGGGGTAGACATGTATATTATAATATACAGGAAGGGGTAGACAGGTATATTATAATATACAGGTAGAGGTAGACAGGTGTATTATAATATACAGGTAGAGGTAGACAGGTGTATTATAATATACAGGTAGAGGTAGACAGGTATTATAATATACAGGTAGACAGGACAGGTATATTATAATATACAGGTAGGGGTAGACATGTATATTATAATATACAGGTAGGGGTAGACAGGTATATTATAATACACAGGTAGGGGTAGACAGGTATATTATAATATACAGATAGACAGGACAGGTATATTATAATATACAGGTAGACAGGACAGGTATATTATAATATACAGGTAGACAGGACAGGTATATTATAATATACAGGTAGACAGGACAGGTATATTATAATATACAGGTAGGGGTAGACATGTATATTATAATATACAGGTAGACAGGACAGGTATATTATAATATACAGGTAGACAAGACAGGTATATTATAATATACAGGTAGGGGTAGACATGTATATTATAATATACAGGTAGGGGTAGACAGGTATATTATAATATACAGGTAGGGGTAGACAGGTATATTATAATATACAGGTAGAGGTAGACAGGTATATTATAATATACAGGTAGGGTAGACAGGTATATTATAATATACAGGTAGGGGTAGACAGTGTATTATAATATACAGGTAGAGGTAGACAGGTATATTATAATATACAGGTAGGGTAGACAGGTGTATTATAATATACAGGTAGAGGTAGACAGGTATATTATAATATACAGGTAGGGGTAGACAGGTGTATTATAATATACAGGTAGAGGTAGACAGGTATATTATAATATACAGGTAGACAGGACAGGTATATTATAATATACAGGTAGGGGTAGACAGTATTATAATATACAGGTAGCAGTACAGGTATATTATAATATACAGGTAGACAGACAGGTATATTATAATATACAGGTAGGGGTAGACATGTATATTATAATATACAGGTAGGGGTAGACAGGTATATTATAATATACAGGTAGGGGTAGACAGGTATATTATAATATACAGGTAGGGGTAGACATGTATATTATAATATACAGGTAGACAGGACAGGTATATTATAATATACAGGTAGGGGTGGACAGGTATATTATAATATACAGGTAGACAGGACAGGTGTATTATAATATACAGGTAGGGGTGGACAGGTATATTATAATATACAGGTAGGGGTGGACAGGTATATTATAATATACAGGTAGGGGTGGACAGGTATATTATAATACACAGGTAGTGGTGGACAGGTATATTATAATATACAGGTAGGAGTAGACAGGTATATTATAATATACAGGAAGGGGTAGACAGGTATATTATAATATACAGGTAGAGGTAGACAGGTGTATTATTACATTTACATTTTACATTTTAGTCATTTAGCAGACGCTCTTATCCAGAGCGACTTACAGGAGCAATTAGGGTTAAGTGCCTTGCTCAAGGGCACATTTACGTCATTTAGCAGACACTCTTATCCAGAGCGACTACAAATTGGTGCATTCACCCTATAGCCAGTGGGATAACCACTTTACAATTATATATATATATATATTTTTTTTTTGGGGGGGGGGGGGGGGGTAGAAGGATTACTTTATCCAAACATTCCATAACTGCAGGTGGCAGTAAATCGCCAACCTTACGCTTTATACCTGTTCAAACAACACACTCCAGGTGGCAGTATGCCACCCTTTCAGTTGGTTTACCAACTCATAGATATAGTAGAAGAATAAAATCTACTACTTCAAAATGGAGATGGCCTCAATGGCACATGCTGTCACAGACACCATAATGGGACAGATACAAAGAAGAGTCGTCTAACTACGTCTATGGTTCAACCCTAAACACAGGCACTGGTAAGACCTCCCTACTGAGGGTCCTGAACCGCTTGTGGGAGGCCGACAGCGGCTATGTCCAGATGACGTCGTGTTTCGGTCCCAGGGGAATACTCTTTCTGCCTCAGAAACCCTACCTAACTGACGGAACGCTCAGAGAACAGGTAGGCACTACATTACCCAGAAACCCTACCTAACTGACGGAACGCTCAGAGAACAGGTAGGCACTACATTACCCAGAAACCCTACCTAACTGACGGAACGCTCAGAGAACAGGTAGGCACTACATTGCCCAGAAGCCTTACCTAACTGACGGAACGCTAACTGAGAACGGTTAGATAACATTTAATTTGTTTGTTTGTTCATTCATACTTTGCTCACAACCCTACTCACCAGTTGAGGAAGAGCTGACTAGTTGAGGAAGAGCTGACTAGTTGAGGAAGAGCTGACTAGTGCAATAGAATTTAACTAACTTATTTTTTCTCTCTCTTCAACAGGTGATCTACCCTCTGAAGGAGATCTACCCTCTATCAGGTATCGTCTTGTGAAATAGCATTCTCAGGGCCCCATTTTGACATTTAAGAGAAAGTGTCACTAGGAGGCTTCTCCTAGTTCAAACCTTCTCCGTGTTTTTTTCACAGGGTCAGTGGATGACGAGAGAATCATACAGTACCTGGAACTAGCTGGAGTGGTGAGTGTATATTAGCATACTTACGGTCTCACTCTGTACGCTTTTACTATATTTACGGTTATTCTAAGGTTCTGTGTCTGAACTTGAACCCTCTCTGATGTTCTAGTCTAGTATCCTGAAGAGGACAGGAGGACTGGATGAGCCTGTGGACTGGAACTGGTAAGAAACAAACAAATGGCAAATGTGGTCTGACTGTCTTGTAGCTTTAGTACTACATATACAGTCAGGTCCAACATGATGGGCACCCTTGATAAAGACTGTAAAATAAACAATACAAATACTGAGCTATATTGTATGCTAAGACTAATACAATACAATTGGTTAGAGAAAGAGATATTGTTTAACAAGTAATAAAAACAATCTAAAAAAAGATAGCTGTATTTGTTATTTTATCAAGGGTGCCAATAATGTCGGACCTGACAGTACGTAGGGCTTTAGATGGTGGACTGTAAATGGCTGACTTCCTGTCTCTGCAGGTATGATGTTCTGTCTCCAGGGGAGATGCAGAGGCTTTGCTTTGCACGCCTCTTTTACCTGCAGCCTAAATACGCAGGTCTGTACCCTACCCACATTACCATCGATGCTAACCATATGATACAATGCATCTTTAAACTCATGAAGAGTGTAATGACTACATTAGAGCTAAGGTGGAGATAATTCAACTTCGGTTGATTCAAGACATCAAATACAAAATTCAGTGTATAAACAGGAACTCTGGCTCTTTTTGTCAGTGCTAACTCCGTGTGTGTGTGTGTGTGTGTGTGTGTGTGTGTGTGTGTGTGTGTGTGTGTGTGTGTGTGTGTGTGTGTGTGTGTGTGTGTGTGCCAGTGTTGGATGAGGCGACCAGTGCCCTGACGGAGGAGGCAGAGGGGCAGATGTACCGAACATGTAAGCAGCTGGGAATGACCCTGGTCAGCCTGGGACACCGCAGCAGCCTGGAGAAGGTACACAAGTTGACATAAGCTTTATGTAGTGCTTATTCATGTGTTTTGTAGTGCTTATGTATGTGTTATGAATGTGTTATGAAGGGTTATGAATGTGTTATGAAGGATTATGAATGTGTTATTAAGTCCTTTCTGACTGTTCCCCCTGCAGTACCATGACGTCTCGTTGAAACTGTGTGGAGAGGGACGCTGGGAGCTGACCAAGCTAAAATAGGAGTGATGCTTGAAATAATGACTGGCCACAACCCAACCAAAACACAACCACATTTTTTTAGATTTAGTCTTAGTCATTTTGACTAAATTTTTTACATTTTAGTCATTTAGCAGACGCTCTTATCCAGAGCGACTTACAGTTAGTGAGTGCATGCATGTTTGTTTTTTTCGGTTTTTTTTTTTTTCATACTAGACTAAAATATAATTAAGTCTTAGTCACATTTCTGTCATTTGAATAATTATTTATGCTAGTTTTTGACAAAATAATGAAAACATTGGTCCATTTTAGTCAACTAAATGCCCTTTCACTTTAGTCAAGTTTTAGTCACATCACATTTGTATTGCCTCATTAACCTATAGTAAGCATACAATGCCTTCAGAAAGTATTCACACCCCTTTACTTTTTCCACATTTTGTTGTGTTACAGCCTGAATTTAAAATGGATTAAATTAAGATGTTTTTTGTCACTGGCCTACACACAATACTCCATAATGTCAAAGTGGAATTATGTTTTTCAATTTTTTTAAACAAATTAATAAAAAATGAAAAGCTGAAATGTCTTGAGTCAATAACTATTCAACCCCTTTGTTACGGCAAGCCTAAATAAATTCAGGAGTAAAAATGTGCTTAATAAGTCACATAATAAGTTGCATGGACTCACACTGCGTGCAACAATAGTGTTGAACAGGATTTTTGAATGACTGCCTCATCTCTGTACCCCACACATACAATTATCTGTAAGGTCCCTCAGTTGAGCAGTGAATTTCAAACACAGATTCAACCACAAAGACCAGGGAGGTTTTCCCCAATGCCTCGCAAAGAAAGGCACGTATTGGTAGACATTGAATATCCCTTTTAGCATGGTGAAGTTATTAATTACACTTTACATTTACATCTTATCCAGAGCGGCTTACAGTTGGTGCATTCATCTTAATATACAATTTTCCTCAATAAAGTACACTACATGACCAAACGTATGTGGACACCCACTCGTCGAACATCTCATTCCAAAATCATGGGCATTAAAATGGAGTTGGTCCCCCCCTTTGCTTCTATAACAGCCTCCACTTTTCTGGGAAGGCTTTCCACTAGATGTTGGAACATTGCTGTGGGGGACTTGCTTCCATTCAGCCACAAGAGCATTAGTGAGGTCGGGCACTGATGTTGGGTGAACAGGCCTGGCTCGCAGTCGGCGTTCCAATTCATCCCAACAGTGTTTGATGGGGTTGAGGTCATGGGGTTGATGGAGAGAGAGAGAGGGAGAGAGAGAGAGAGAGAGGGAGAGAGAGAGAGAGAGAGAGAGAGAGAGAGGGAGAGAGAACATTTGCACACACATGGAACAACTCTCACAGTAATCCTAATACCTTGCCCCGAACGCTGCAGCCCGTCTGGTGTTCAACCTTCCCAAGTTCTCTCATGTCACCCTGCTCCTCCGCACACTCCACTGGCTTCCAGTTGAAGCTCGCATCTACTACAAGACCATGGTGCTTGCCTACGGAGCTGTGAGGGGAACGGCACCTCCTTACCTTCAGGCTCTGATCAGACCCTACACCCAAACGAGGGCACTACGTTCATCCACCTCTGGCCTGCTAGCCCCCCTACCTCTACGGAAGCACAGTTCCCGCTCAGCCCAGTCAAAGCTATTCGCTGCTCTGGCACCTCAATGGTGGAACAAGCTCCCCCACGACGCCAGGACAGCGGAGTCACTGACCACCTTCCGGAGACACTTGAAACCCTACCTCTTTAAGGAATACCTGGAATAGTATAACAGTAATCCTTCTACCCCCAAACCCCCCCCCATTCCCCACCCCCCCCGTAAAAAAAAAAGAAACAAAAAAGGGTGGTTGTCCCACTGGCTATCCTAAGTTGAATGCACCAATTTGTAAGTCGCTCTGGATAAGAGCGTCTGCTAAATGACTTAAATGTTAAATGTAAATGTAAGTAATGCATGTACACTGCTCCAAAAAAATAAAGGGAACACTTAAACAACACAATGTAACTCCAAGTCAATCACACTTCTGTGAAATCAAACTGTCCACTTAGGAAGCAACACTGATTGACAATAAATTTCACATGCTGTTGTGCAAGTGGAATAGACAACAGGTGGAAATTATAGGCAATTAGCAAGACCCCCCCAATAAAGGACTGGTTTTGCAGGTGGTGACCACAGACCACTTCTCAGTTCCTATGCTTCCTGGCTGATGTTTGGTCACTTTTGAATGCTGGCGGTGCTTTCACTCTAGTGGTAGCATGAGACGGAGTCTACAACCCACACAAGTGGCTCGGGTAGTGCAGCTCATCCAGGATGGCACATCAATGCGAGCTGTGGCAAGAAGGTTTGCTGTGTCTGTCAGCGTAGTGTCCAGAGCATGGAGGCGCTACCAGGAGACAGGCCAGTACATCAGGAGATGTGGAGGAGGCCGTAGGAGGGCAACAACCCAGCAGCAGGACTGCTACCTCCGCCTTTGTGCAAGGAGGAGCAGGAGGAGCACTGCCAGAGCCCTGCAAAATGACCTCCAGCAGGCCATAAATGTGCATGTGTCTGCTCAAACGGTCAGAAACAGACTCCATGAGGGTGGTATGAGGGCCCGACGCCCACAGGTGGGGGTTGTGCTTACAGCCCAACACCGTGCAAGACGTTTGGCATTTGCCAGAGAACACCAAGATTGGCAAATTCGCCACTGGCTCCCTGTGCTCTTCACAGATGAAAGCAGGTTCACACTGAGCACGTGACAGACGTGACAGAGTCTGGAGACGCCGTGGAGAACATTCTGCTGCCTGCAACATCCTCCAGCATGACCGGTTTGGCGGTGGGTCAGTCATGGTGTGGGGTGGCATTTCTTTGGGGGGCCGCACAGCCATCCATGTGCTCGCCAGAGGTAGCCTGACTGCCATTAGGTACCGAGATGAGATCCTCAGACCCCTTGTGAGACCATATGCTGGTGCGGTTGGCCCTGGGTTCCTCCTAATGCAAGACAATGCTAGACCTCATGTGGCTGGAGTGTGTCAGCAGTTCCTGCAAGAGGAAGGCATTGATGCTATGGACTGGCCCGCCCGTTCCCCAGACCTGAATCCAATTGAGGACATCTGGGACATCATGTCTCGCTCCATCCACCAACGCCACGTTGCACCACAGACTGTCCAGGAGTTGGCGGATGCTTTAGTCCAGGTCTGGGAGGAGATCCCTCAGGAGACCATCCGCCACCTCATCAGGAGCATGCCCAGGCGTTGTAGGGAGGTCATACAGGCACGTGGAGGCCACACACACTACTGAGCCTCATTTTGACTTGTTTTAAGGCCATTACATCAAAGTTGGATCAGCCTGTAGTGTGGTTTTCCACTTTAATTTTGAGGGTGACTCCAAATCCAGACCTCCATGGGTTGATAAATTTGATTTCCATTGATAATTTTTGTGTGATTTTGTTGTCAGCACATTCAACTATGTAAAGAAAAAAGTATTTAATAAGATTATTTCATTCATTCAGCTCTAGGATGTGTTATTTTAGTGTTCCCTTTATTTTTTTGAGCAGTGTATTTATGTGTTGGAGGTCGTGTATCTCTGTTGGACCCAGGCCTCCATGGAAAGGGCTCGATGGGGGTTTTCTCCTCGTGTTCCGGATGATAGTTGTCTGGTTCTGTAGTCAGTGGACTAACAGGGTGATGTTCTGTTCTGGAAGAGTGATCTTCTGAGGACGGCTAATCAGCTGTGTCGATGATCCGTGTCGATGGGGTTATGAGAACAGTGTCGTCGACGATGATTTGAAGAGAGTAGCCGGATGGTCCTAGATACAGTACTTAGAACATTTTCTCAACCGTAGCATTGACTGTTAGAGGCTCCTTCGTCTTCTTCAATCGTCTGTTGGTTTTCAGGGTCCGGACCAATATAGACCTAGCTGCAGCTTCAGGTCCGTCTAGTCTCCTTTGTTAATTCTTAACTCAATATTTTATACACTCTTCTATACGCTTTTATACACTTACGTGATGAAGACACTCTTTCTGAGCTCCTGTGGGCGTGGCTAGTTACTGGGGAAAAGTATTCTGAAGTTTCTACGGTTTCGTTAAAGAACCAAAATCATCTTCCTATCTTTACGAAAATATCCTCCTGGATATTTCCTACACAACGTAACGGATGCAAACTTGAAATGCACAGTATGAAAGCTCTTCAGTGACTCAACCCACTCAAGGGGTGCATCACTTCAGTGGGTTGAGTCACTGACGTGATCTTCCTGTCCGGTTTTGCGCCCCTTCGGGCTGGGGCAGTGGAGGAGATCTTCGTGGGCTATACTCAGCCTTGTCTCAGGGTATTAAGTTGGTGGTCTGTTGATATCCCTCTGGTGGTGTGGGGGCTGTGCTTTGGCAAAGTGGGTGGGGTTATATCCTGCCTGGTTGGCCCTGTCCGGGGGTATCGTCGGACGGGGCCACAGTGTCGTCCCCCCCCCCCCCCCCCCCCCCCGTCTCAGCCTCCAGTATCCATGCTGCAATTGTCCATGTGCCGGGGGGGCTAGGGTCAGTCTGTTATATCTGGTGTTATTCTCCTGTCTTATCCGGTGTCCTGTGTGAATTTAAGTATGCTCCCTCTAATTCTAATAATAATAATAATAATAAATAATAATAATAATTCTCTCTCTCTCCCTCTCTCCCTCCCATCCCGGAGGACCTGAGCCCTAGGACCATGCCTCAGGACTACCTGGCCTGATGACTCCTTTCTGTCCCCAGTCCACCTGGTCGTGCTGCTGCTCCAGTTTCAACTCTTCTGCCTGTGGCTATGGAACCCTGACCTGTTCACCGGACGTGCTACCTTGTCCCAGACCTGCTGTTTTTCAACTCTTTCTCTCTACCGCACCTGTTATTTCAACCTCTAAATGCCCGGCTATGAAAAGCCAAGTGACATTTACTCCTGATGTACTGACCTGTTGCAACCTCTGTGATTATTATTTGACCCTGCTGGTCATCTATGAATCTTTGAACATCTTGGAGAAAAATCTGTCCTTAATGGCCATGTACTGTTATAATCTCCACCCGGCACAGCCAGAAGGAGACTGGCCACCCCTCAGAGCCTGGTTCCTCTCTAGGTGTCTTCCTAGGTTTCTGCCTTTCTAGGGAGTTTTTCCTAGCCACCGTGCTTCTACATCTGCATTGCTTGGTGTTTGGGGTTTTAGGCTGGGTTTCTTTATAGCACTTTGTGACATCTGCTGATGTAAAAAGGGCATTATAAATACAATTTTATTGATTTTATTGATTCAAGTTACAATATTTTCGTTATAACGTTTTTATTAAAGTTTTAATGACATCACAAAATAGACTTTAATTTTCCATATTCCCTCTCTCATCATTCCCAATATTCGGATGTTGAAATATACTGTTCCAGTGTCCACCTTTGGTCCTTTAGCGTTTGGGGCGGCAATCTGTCCCTGTAGAGACTTCAGATCGCCAATACCAGGGACCAACAAGGAGTAATTTGCTGCAAACCATTTGGGATTTTGGCGCGAGGGGTCATAAACCCCCCCCCATATCAATCCCTCCTGTGTTCTGCGGGGAGGGAGAGAGAGAGAGAGAGATCTGTAGACGGTTGGTTCTCTGTATTCTGATCTTGGGACCATCACAAGAGAGTCATGACACAGGGCGGAAATTTGACGAACTGACGGTGCCACGTTGAAAGTCACTGAGCTCTTCAGTAAGGCTATTCTACCACCAATTTTTGTCTATGAAGAGATTGCATGGCTGTGTGCTCGATGTAATACACCTGTCAGTAACGGGTGTGGTCTGAAATAGCCGAATCCACTAATTTTAAGGCGTGTCCACATACTTTTGTCAAAAGTCAAAAGTTTGGACACACCTACTCATTCAAGGGTTTTTCTTTATTTTTACTATTTTCTAAACTATGAAATAACACATATGGAATCATGTAGTAACCAAAAAAGTGTTAAACAAATATATTTGAGATTCTTCAAATAGCCACCCTTTGCCTTGATGACAGCTTTGCACACTCTTGGCAAGTCAGTTAAGAACAAATTCTTATCTACACCGGCCAAACCCTGACGACGCTGGGCCAATTGTGCACCGCCCTTTGGGACTCCCAATCATGGCCGGTTGTGATAAAGCCTGGAATCGAACCAGGGAGTCTGTAGTGACGCTTCAAGCACTGAGATGCAGTGTCTTAGACCGCTGCGCCACTCGGGAGCCCGGATACTTTTATATCCCCTCGTTTTAGTCAACTGCAAAATCATTTTTGTTTAGTTATAGTTTTTTCAGCATCTATTTAGTCCGTTATAGTCTTGTCAATTACCACTGAAAAATAGGTGTTTGACGAATATTTTAGTCACTATTTTTGTTGACGAAATTAACACTGACCAAAAAACAACCACAATGTAACTGACACCAAAGTCCAACCACAACGTAACTGAACACCACTCAACAGAAGACAACCACAACCCAAACACAATGTGCCTGCACCACTCTCCAAGTCATGGTATCTAGTATTGGTAACTAACGTCTCTCTTAATGCAGCTCACTTAATGTGGAATATACTGTAAACTGAACAAAAATAGGTTAAGCTGTGGGACTGTGTATTGTTTGCTGACGAATATACTGGGTCTTAATGTGATATACGATGTCTTTGACTTTCTTATTGACATAAAATGTGTATTCAAAATGTATTTTTTCATGCTTTTTAATGAGACTGACCAATAAAGGATGCAGCTCCAATAAAAAAAAAGTGTTTATTGTTGCTTTATTACTCAAATCATAATCTGTATAAAACAAAGTTAATTAATATAATCTGCCTTGTATCATGCAACTAATAACAGGAGTTTAAAATACAATACTAAAAATACCTTTCTTCTCAAGTCATTAAAGTTATCCGGAACAGGCGCTTAAGAAACAGAGCACAAAGAATAGCATGAAATATTAAAGACCATTTTACTGACTGATGTTGGTTTTTTTTAAGGTTCTCAAATCAAATCAAATGTTATTGGTCACATACACATATTTAGCAGATGTTATTGCGGGTGTAGGCGAAATGCTTGTGTTCCTAGCGCCAACAATGCAGTAGTATTTAACAATACACACAACTCTAAGCGTTTTCCAAGCATATTACACGTCCCTCTAGTTTGGGGGAATGGATGTGGATCCAGAGTTACCAAGGGTGGGGTCTATTCAACATGGTCACACATTCAGAATGTTGCAGATAGATATAATGTATACAGCTGGTATGATGATTCTCTATTGGTCATGACAGAGGCATTTGTGCTACACAATACAATATGTGAGTGTTCTGTAACTTAAAGGGACACTTCACCAACGTCTAACCTCATATTCATTGTCTCCAGCACCATATCATTGAAAATGGTGGTTTTTCTTTATTCTGTAGTAAAAAAATAAAAGATACAAATTGGTGGTGTCCCTTTAATACTCTGTTGTTACTGCTGCTTGCCGTCGCCACGGAGACGCTGGTGACCCCTGATGACCTCGCGTACGCAGTCGGGGTCGTCTAGCGTGCTGAGGTCCCCCAGCTCGTCCGTGTTCCCCTCTACGATCTTCCTCAGGACACGACGCATGATTTTCCCTGAGCGAGTCTTTGGCAGATGCCTCACCACCTACAGAGATAAAAGCCCTGTTTGAATACTTTAAAAGTGCATCCTTCCTTCCTCCCTTCATTAAAAACTTTTTGAAACGGGGAGGATACTTTTTCTGTTGCAAAACGTTTTGCTACAGCGTGCCCTACTTAACACAACCCAGCTGTCATGGCTGTTAATGTTATAAATCATGTTCAGGACAGTCTTGTGAGGCTTTAGGACATTGTTTATGACCTTATAAATTAGGCAGAGGGTTCAACAATTGAAAGCATCACAAGTGAATAGTACCCACTAGACTACCAGCATTAGTAGTACTACCTGTATGAAGTCTGGGCAGGCGTACTTGGCGATGCTCCTGGACACCATCTCTCTGAGCTGCCGGGCTAGAACATCCTCTTGGACCTCCGCTGCCTTCTTCAACACCACAAACACATACACACCTGGTCAAAGAAGAGGACAGTAGATCAGTTATATAGCCATAAAGGCTGTGTTTACACAGGCAGCCCAATTCTGATCTTTTGCCCAATTATTGGCAAAAGCGGTGATCTGATTGGTCAAAGGATATCTAGAATATCTGTTTGTTGTTTACTATTGTCCAGCTTACGACATGCTACATAATTTGCATAAGGTCACTTAAAGGTTATGTCAAGTTCACGTACAGGTGGTTGGTGAACTGTATATTTGTTGTTGACAGGGTTGGAGAGCAACTGATTACATGTTATCTGATTACAAACTGAAGTCAGGGTTACTTGTAATCTGATTACAAACTGAAGTCAGGGTTACTTGTTATCTGATTACAAACTGAAGTCAGGGTTACTTGTTATCTGATTACAAACTGAAGTCAGGGTTACTTGTTATCTGATTACAAACTGAAGTCAGGGTTACTTGTTATCTGATTACAAACTGAAGTCAGGGTTACTTGTTATCTGATTACAAACTGAAGTCAGGGTTACTTGTTATCTGATTACAAACTGAAGTCAGGGTTACTTGTTATCTGATTACAAACTGAAGTCAGGGTTCCTTGTTATCTGATTACAAACTGAAGTCAGGGTTACTTGTTATCTGATTACAAACTGAAGTCAGGGTTACTTGTTATCTGATTACAAACTGAAGTCAGGGTTCCTTGTTATCTGATTACAAACTGAAGTCAGGGTTACTTGTTATCTGATTACAAACTGAAGTCAGGGTTACTTGTTATCTGATTACAAACTGAAGTCAGGGTTACTTGTTATCTGATTACAAACTGAAGTCAGGGTTACTTGTTATCTGATTACAAACTGAAGTCAGGGTTACTTGTTATCTGATTACAAACTGAAGTCAGGGTTACTTGTTATCTGATTACAAAAATACTGTAACTGTAATAAGTTATGTTACCAGCAATGATATTGTAATCAGATTACAGATACTTTGGAAAAACTAGATGATTACTTATTGGATTACTTTTAAATTCAGAAAGGATGTTTGCTAAAAAAAATACATGATGACACCTTTCTGTTTTCTCAATGACATTCAATTCAGCATTGAAAAATAGGCACAAGTTTAAGTTTGTTCCACCTGAGGGAGTCTGGCCACCAGTCAGAGACCACTATGATGACACACCAAATGATGACCACCAATCAGAGACCACTATGATGACACACCAAATGATGACCACCAATCAGAGACCACTATGATGACACACCAAATGATGACCACCAATCAGAGACCACTATGATGACACACCAAATGATGACCACCAATCAGAGACCACTATGATGACACACCAAATGATGACCACCAATCAGAGACCACTATGATGACACACCAAATGTGTTTAAAGGATCCCTTTTGCTGTCTTCTAATGCCTCTTAAGGGGAAAGTAATCTGAAAGTAATCTGAAAGTAACTGAAAGTAATCTGAAAGTAATCTGAAAGTAACTGAAAGTAATCAGATTACGTTACTGATTTTGGGTAATCCATAAAATACGTTATTGATTACAGTTTTGGACAGGTAACTATTAACTGTAACGGATTACATTTATAAAGTAACCTACCCAATCCTGGTTGTTGATACCTTGAATTAGTCACTAAGAGTGAGAGTTAAGTGGACATACAACAGGGTAAAAGTCAATTGGTATAATCATGTAACCATGGTGCACCTCAAAGTTCAATGATGTCACTCACCCTCTCCTTTGATGTCATGGGAGTAGCCAATCGCAGCAGACTCAGCCACTCCAGGACACTGGTTCTAGGAGAGAATGCCATGGAATCAGTTCAACTGTCATAAGTCCCGCGTAGCTCAGTTGGTAGAGCATGGCGCTTGCAACGCCAGGGTTGTGGGTTCGTTTCCCACGGGGGGCCAGTATGAAGAAAAGTATGCACTCATTAACTGTAAGTCGCTCTGGATAAGAGCGTCTGCTAAATGACTAAAATATAAATGACATTAACAAGGCCGTTTATACGATAAGCAACATTTCAGCAGATTTTTCTGTAGACTCAGGCAAAGTCCTGCAATAAGAAATTATTTGGACTCATGATCGTGATCAGTGATGTAGTGGTAAAAAAATGGTGGGTAAACGCTGATCGCCGTACGCACTGATTATTTGTATTTGTATTTGTTATGGATCCCCCCCAGTTAAAGTAACACTCCCTATACTTTCAATGCATTTTTCTGCAAAAGATGGGGTAAGATGGGGTGGGATGGGGTAGGATGGGGTAAGATGGGGTAAGATTAGATGGGCGGATGGGTAGGATGGGTACATGGGTAGGAAATGGGGTGATGGGTAGGTGGGTTTATTGGGGTGTGGATGGGGGTAGATGGGTTGATGGGGTAGGTGGGGAAAGATGGGTAAGATTTTGGTGATGGGGTTAGGTGGGTTTGGGGTAGGATGGGGTGTGGGTAGGATGGGGTAGATCTGGGTATGTGTTTGGTAGTTTGTTGTTGGGTTTGGGGTTTGTGGGTTTTTGGAGTTTTTGTTGATGGGGGGTGGTTCGTTGGTAGGATTTGTGTTGGTCTTTTGGGGTTTTTTTTTTTTGGGGTTGGAGGGTAGCGGTTTCCCGAATTTACTTTTAACTGCGTTACTCTCCGCTAAAACACATGATTGTGAAGTTATTTTGACAGGGACATTTGGTCACATGATCATGATCGTGTACATACCACCACATCCTCCAGTTCCGCAGTCCCAAGCCGGTGACCGCTCACATTGATGACATCATCAAGACGGCCGATGATCTGGTAATAGCCCTCCTTGGAGCGGTACGCACCGTCGCCGGTGAAGAAGTAACCTAGTAGCGGTGTGACACAATTTAGGGGATTGATTTAGCAGAGCACTAGAGATAGAGCATTGAGCATTGTAGAGCGCTAGTTTTTAAAAGTCTGCGTGGGTTTGGTTTGTCAGTACCTGGATAAGGCTGGAAATATGTCTCTGTGAATCTCTGGTGGTGGTTGTGGATAGTGCGGGCCATACCAGGCCAGGCCTGGGATATACACAGAGCTCCAGTCGAATCATTGGAACTCAGCACTTCACCCTGGATACAATACACAAAACAACACTTCTATTTCCAAACAAATTCCAAACTCCTTACGACACAGAATAGAGGGAGCAGAAATGCGTAGGGGATTGAACAGGGAACCCCCGCCTGGCGAGAGCGTTACCCACTTGTCCACACTCCGCTCCACACTCCGTTCCACACTCCGCTCCACACAACAGAATATCTAGTTGAATAGACAGCAGGGTAACAGCACTGTGTGTAGAAGAGGGAAGTGGGATATCAGACTGCTTCCAAACAGACCAGACAGCTGGGAAGCCCCAACAACAGATTAACGGCTGGTCAGAGAATGTTGTGGCTCTTAGTGAGGAGAGAAAGAGGGAGAGAGAGAGAGAGAGTGGTGAGAGAGAGAGAGAGAAGAGGATGAGAGAGAGAGAGAGGATGAGAGAGTAGGAGTAGAGATAAGAGAGATAGTGGAGAGAGACTCTTCTCTTTTCCTTTCCCTTCTCTCTCTACTCCTCTCTCTCTCTCATCTCGCCGCGCTCTACTCTCTCCTCTTATCTCTTCTCTTTCCGCGCTTCTCTCCTTTCGCTCTCGCGCTCTCTCCCCTTCCTGTCCCGTGCTCGCTCCCGATCGTCCCCTTCTTATCATCTTTGTCCGCTCGCGAAAGAGCCCATTAAACAGAGAGAGTGGTGAGTAGAATAGGGGGAGAGATAGGGAGGGGGAGAGAGAGAGCGTGTGAAGCGAAGAGAGAGAGAAGAGAAGAGTGAGAGTAGAGAGAGACACGGAAGAGAGAGCGAGAGATAGTCGAGAGCGCGAGATCAGCGCACGTCAAGAGAGGAGAGATAGAGTAGCAAGCGAAGAGAGAGTGACGCTATGGGGGTAGAGAGCCAAGTGAGAGAAAGAGAGCGATGAATGCATAGGACGGTTTTAGAGAATAGAGAGAGAGAAAGGACAAGAGAGAGAGATATAGGGAGAAAGAGATGTGGTAGACGAGTAGAGAATAGAGTAGAGATAATAGAAACTGAAAGCAAGATCAGACAGAGTAGAGAGGCGTGTCTCTCAAGCAGACTTGCTCTACCTAAGCACCCATCGCGCGGGGTAGGAAGGTGTAGATATCTTGTCTTTCTTTCTTTGTATAGCATACTATCTCATAGCCCCACATCCGAGCGGACGCTTGGTTTCTCTTTAATTAGTTCTCGCTCTCTCTCGCTTTCTTCCTCCGCCTCCCCCGCTCTCTTTTTACTCCCGTCTCTTCTTCTTCGTTTTTCTCAGCTCTACTCTCTCGCCCTCCCCCGCTCTCTTTTCTTCCCGCTCTCGTTTTCATTCTGTTTTCTGATAGAGGTCGCAGAAACAGAAGATAGAGATGGGGGGGACGATAGCTAGCTAGTTCCATACCCCTCCGAGCAGACCTTTTTCTATCCCTCTATCTCTATTTCTTTTACTATTTTTTCTCGCTCTCTCTCCCCTCTCCTACCCCCTCTCTATTTTTCTCGCCCTCTTTGCTCTCCTCTCTCTATGCTTCTATCTCATCTCTCGCTATATATATCAGGCTCTCTTATATCTCATCATTCTCACGTCGTCCTTTCTCTCTCGCTCTCACTTCTCTCTCTATTTCTTCTTATCCTCATCATTATCTGCTCAAGTATAGAGAGAGGAGACCCTCCCCCGCCCAGGACTAGCGTCACACCATCTCGCCACAGTTTACTTACCATCGTCTGGCCCGTTTTTCTTTGAGCCAAAAGGCATTAGGTATTGAGCGTTTAGATTGCATTGGAATCTAGAATAAATACTAGCTGTCGACTTAGCGAGGGACGTCTAGATCCATCCGAATGTAATTGAAAGGACCAGTGGGCCTATGGAAGGGACTAGAAGTGCGAAAATCAACTCGGAGCTAGAGTCCTAACGCGGTGGCAAACGAGCCGTCTTCTCAGTCCTGTGAAGATCGCGCAGCGCCGCTTGGATGATCCCTAAATGGACGCATGGCATCGGCCCGGAAATGATCTCCGCCTCTGTTCCGACCGTCGCTGGGGAGTCAATGCAGATCCCACCGGTCTCTGGAGAGATGGGAATATTACGGGAATGAGAGAGATAGTTTTAATCAACTGCTTTTCTACTGAATCTGTTTGAATATTGAAAGTGCTTCCTTCCTTGCTCTCTTCACTGATCGGCCATGACTGAATAGGTGAATGCCTTTTCAAGTATTTGAACAGGGCCTAAAGTTTGGCCACACCATATTGTTGTGGCCCCTGAAGAGATCCCCCAAACAATAAGTCACAGTATAAAGACTAGAGAAAGTACTCCAATTACGGGAGGGGTGGTAGGGTTAGGGGAAAATAATAAAGAAGGAAAATATATTTAAAATAATATATATATTTACCCAAAAAAATATATGGGGGATTGGAAATGATGCAGACAATTACATTGATAGAAGCCACGATCTATTGTCACGAATTCCGCCTCCTCCTTGTTCGGGCAGGCTTCGGCGTTCGTCGCCCCCGGAGTACTAGCTGCTACCGTTTGATGTTATCTATGTTTGTTTGGTCTTGTCTGATTAGTGCACCTGTTCCATATCTCGTATTGATTATGTCACCTATAAGTTTCCTTTGGTTTTGTTTGTAGTTGTGTGTTGTTGTACACCTGTCCGTTGGTGTAGGTTATTTGTTTTCTTGTTGTTAGTGCTTTTCGCACTTTACGCACTGTTTTGCGTATTCGCTCGCCTCCTGTTTGTTGAGGCCCGTTGGATTTGTATTTTGCTCCTGTGACTATTAAAGTCGGATCAACTAAGCTTCTGTGTCCTGCGCCTGACTCCAACACCGCATCCACATCAGCCCCTGACATCTATCTGCAATATTAAAGCTGATCTACCCCCTAAAAAAAGTATTAAATAAAGACTAGAGAAAGTAAGAGGAGATAAAAATATGTAGAGGTTGATGAGGAGAAAGGAGAGAAGAGAACATAAACTAGCTTTTTGTAAATGACCAGTTTGTCAGTCTGTCAGCATAACAAGGCCTGATCCTTTAACTACAGATGTCAATGAGCGAATTACGGCCATGTTAAAAGTAAATTCAATTCAAAATGCACTCGCACATCTGGGCTATCTTTGTTGCAGGTGCCATGGTAACAGTTGAATAAGATGAGAAAAAATAAGAAACCCGCACACTGCTCTTGATAGTATCACTGCTCTTGATAGTATCACTGCTCTTGATAGTATCACTGCTCTTGATAGTATCACTGCTCTTTATTAAGTTTTACCATAGTATTACGTAAAACTTATTAAAGAGCAGTGATACTATCAAGAGCAGTGATACTATCAAGAGCAGTGATACTATCAAGAGTAGTGTGCGGGTTTCTTATTTTTTCTCAAAAGTAAATTAAATGCAATTAGGTTGGACTCTATCCCTCGACCAGGCCATGCTAATCGACTAATCTGCTAATCCACCCTGTTAATCTGGCTGGTGTGGAGCTGGACTGACAGAGGGTTTGAGTCCCAAATGGCAACCTATTCCCTATATAGTGCACTACTATGGACCCTGGTCAAAAGTAGTGCACTATAAAAGGAATAGGGTAGCATTTGGGACGCACCCAGGGTCTCCGTAGAACTAGGACACCTCATATTAACATCCTGCAAGGTGCCAACCAGTCAGCTAGCCAGTCAGCTAACCAATCAACCAGCCAGCCAGTCAGCTAACCAGTCAACCAGCCAGTCAACCAGCCAGTCAGTCAGCCAGCCAGTCAGCCAGTCAGTCAACCAGCGAGTCAGTCAACCAGCCAGCCAGCCAGTCAGTCAGTCAACCAGCCAGTCAGCCAGTCAGCCAGTCAACCAGCCAGCCAGCCAGTCAGCCAGCCAGTCAGTCAGCCAACCAGTCAGTCAACCAGCCAGTCAGTCAGCCAGCCAGCCAGTCAACCAACCAGCCAGTCAGCCAGTCAGCCAGCCAGCCAGTCAACCAACCAGCCAGTCAGTCAACCAGCCAGTCAGTCAGCCAGCCAGTCAGCCAGTCAGCCAGTCAGTCAGTCAACCAGCCAGTCAGTCAGCCAGCCAGTCAGCCAGTCAGTCAGTCAGTCAGTCAACCAGCCAGTCAGTCAGCCAGCCAGTCAGCCAGTCAGCCAGCCAGCCAGTCAGTCAACCAGCCAGCCAGTCAACCAGCCAGCCAGCCAGTCAGCCAGTCAGTCAACCAGCGAGTCAGCCAGCCAGCCAGCCAGTCAGCCAGTCAGCCAGCCAGTCAGTCAGCCAGCCAGCTAGCCAATCAGCCAGCCAGTCAACCTGCCAGCCAGCCAGTCAGCCAGTCAGCCAGCCAGTCAACCAGCCAGTCAGCCAGACAGTCAACCAGCCAGTCAACCAGCCAGCCAGCCAGCCAGTCAACCAGCCAGCCAGCTAGCCAGTCAGCCAGCCAGTCAACCAGCCAGTCAACCAGCCAGTCAGCCAGCCAGTCAAATGTCCTTATTTGCCCCTGTAATGTTTTTTTTTGCACATAGATCAAACTGCCAGCAATTACCAATAATGCCATTTAGTCCTAATTGGAAAATTTCTGAGACAAAATAACATAACAACATCATCCTCTGTTCTGAGGTAGAGTATTTGGGTCATATCTGTGTCATTAATGCTCCACGCTAAACTATGCATGTTTAATTAAGAATATTAAAGGGACAATCTGGGATTGAAACAAAAACAACGAATGGCAATACATCATTAATTAAAAAGTCCCAAAATGGATGAACCAATCCCAGATTGTCCCTTTAATATGGCACTTGTGTGACAATTAACATAATTCCAGTGAATTTATTTGATTACTCAATGACTCTAATTTGGTGGGATTGAGGACTGAAATATATAGGGTCAATCTGACTTTTTGTTAGATTAGCCTCAAAATTATCCTATTTATTAGAGAAATCAGATTTTGTTTCAAAACATGTTCTTATAGCCCAGCACTAAACTCATTTTGTGAAAGAACATTGGTTACAGGCCTGTTATTGTAGGCCATTTTCCGCTGACATAATATTACAATTGGTTACAATACAGCAAACCTTCTATTCAATGAAGGTGTGTGAGGTATTGACCCTAAAAAGAGAAAGTACGGAAAGCTACCTAATGAACTCACTGGTCGTGAGCCTTTAGAGCAAAAAAGGAAAGAAAGAGAGAACATTTGACTTTTTAGTCTTTTAGCAGACGCTTTTATCCGGAGCGACTTACAGTCAGAAAGAGAGAGAGAGAGAGTGAAATGAATTTCTGCGAAGTGTTTGTTTCCTAATTCCTCTGCTGCTGCTGCCACTCTGGGGTCAGATATCTGGCAGTATTAGAATAACATCTGGTTTCATGCAGTCCAGAAGGGATATAAAACATTTCATTCGATTGGCTGGAGAGCAGTGTGTGTGGAGTGTGTGTGTGTGTGTGTGTGTGTGTGTAGAGTGTGTGTGTGTGGAGTGTGTGTGTGTGTGTGTGTGTAGAGTGTGTGTGTGTGTAGAGTGTGTGTGTGTGTGTGTGTGTGTGTGTGTAGAGTGTGTGTAGAGTGTGTGTGGAGGTGTGTGTGTGTGTGTGTGTGTGTGTGTGTGTGTAGAGTGTGTGTAGTGTGTGTGTGTGTGTGTGTGTGTGTGTGTGTGTGTGTAGAGTGTGTGTAGTGTGTGTGTGTGTGTGTGTGTGTGTGTGTGTGTGTGTGTGTGTGTGTGTGTGTGTGTGTGTGTGTGTGTGTGTGTGTGTGTGTGTGTGTAGAGTGTGTGTAGAGTTTGTGTAGAGTGTGTGTGTGTTTGCGTGCGTGCGTACGTGTGCGTGCTTACATAATAGTACATTTATTGGAGAGAGGATCGGCCCAGTCTCTCCCCTTTAAGACGGATTGTTCTTCCTGGAAGTTAAAAGCACTCCCTAGAAAGTTCATGAACTAAACATTTCTGCTGGCCGCCAACCAGACCAGCTCCACACAAAGCAGTAGACTAAACTTAGACAGACCAGCACACACTGTACAGTACACTAATCTACAACAATAAACAGAGAAGTGAATGGGTCTGTGATACAAAAAAAAAAAAGGAACCTTTTCCCCATGAAAGAAGCTATAAAAAAACTTCATAAGAACTAGTACTGAGAAGTAAATGGTCTGTGTTACTAAATGAGGGAAACCGTTTTCCTAAAAAAAAAGGAACTAAACAAGAACCGAAAAGCCCTTGAATAAGCATTGCAGAACTTTGTATACAACTAGAAATCAAGTGTTTGGCATCATTTGGTTGAGCAGTCCCTTTAGGCGTCCCATTGGGTGTTTCTCAATATGCATACTACTGTGCTCCACACCCTTATGCTCCGAGTGCATTACCCCGACCACGTTCTCTTGAGTACGTTCTTGTGGAGGACGAGAATGAGGGAGAATGCATAAAACAATAAATTTGAGAAGCACTCACACTCCCCCTTACTGTATTACGTCAGGCTTCACCTCCCCATTCACTGAACCTTCTTCCAGCCGGGACAACGGCAACAACAGACGAAACTAGATATACACAAAGCAAAACGTTTTACTTCATAATTATCAGCTAGATGTGAATTGTAATAATCTAGCTAGCCAGCTAGTTAAAACAGGCAAAAATGACCTAAAACTAATATTATGCAAGGTAGATTTTCCTTTTTCGTGGGTAGCTACCAATTCCTTGTGGCTAGCTAGCTAGCCCTATTGACTTACTATGGACTTACCCATTCACTGAACCGTCTACCACCCAGGACAACAATGGCATTAGACTAAACAAGATATACACAAAGCAACCGTTTTACTTCATAACTATCAGCTAGCTATATGTGAATCGTAATAATGTAGCTAACCGGATAGTTTATCAGGCAGAAATGACCTAAAACTAATATTATGTAAGATAGATGTCAATGGGTAGCTAGCTAACACTTCTTTGTTGCTATCTGGCTAGCTAACAGTACTAGCAGCTAGCCAGTTAGCCCTATTGACTTACTATGGGCTTGTGAGCTACGGTTACGTAGGCAGGTAAACATGCCAAAATTAACACAGCATGTATTTATTAACGTATCAAGATGAAATATTGTAGTCAGGGCAACATATGAGATGTGAATAGGCAACATGTCATTCCGAAGTCGGAGTGTATTTTCTCTCGCTTCAGCTCAAGAAAATTTGCTTCATATTTTACATGGTTGCGTCATATTTCTTTGCATACTTTCTGTTGACGCTTGCATCGATGCGTGCTTCAAAATATGTACAAACGGAGTACCCATTCGAGAAGTGCCCTCCGTGCTCCGTTTTGAATACTTTGATTTGGACTCATACTCCCACCCTCCCGTGCTCCAACTTGTGTGCTCGGAGCACGGTAGTATACATTTTGAGAAACACCCTGGTCTCATACAGCGTTCTGCATACAGCACATACTGTGTAAGAAATTGAGTTGTAGTAAATATAACGTTTTAGTAGCAAGGTTAAAGGTCAGTCATTACCTGTCTGCCACCAGGTATCGACCACAGGGCAGCGTCCGTCCCCCACCACCCGATGGTACCACTCCCAAGCTTCTGTGTTGATGGGTTCACCCACTGCAGAGGAAACAGGAAAGGACAGGGTTAACAGCACCACAGGGCTATTCTCCCTCACTGCAGAGGGAACAGGACAGGACAGAACAGGACAGGACAGGGTTAACAGCACCACAGGGCTATTCTCCCTCACTGCAGAGGGAACAGGACAGGACAGGACAGAACAGGAAAGGACAGGGTTAACAGCACCACAGGGCTATTCTCCCTCACTGCAGAGGGAACAGGACAGGACAGGACAGGGTTAACAGCACCACAGGGCTATTCTCCCCCACTGCAGAGGGAACAGGACAGGACAGGACAGAACAGGACAGGACAGGGTTAACAGCACCACAGGGCTATTCTCCCTCACTGCAGAGGGAACAGGACAGGACAGAACAGGACAGGACATGGTTAACAGCACCACAGGGCTATTCTCCCTCACTGCAGAGGGAACAGGACAGGACAGGACAGGGTTAACAGCACCACAGGGCTATTCTCCCTCACTGCGGAGGGAACCGGACAGGACAGAACAGGACAGGACAGGACAGGGTTAACAGCACCACAGGGCTATTCTCCCTCACTGCAGAGGGAACAGGACAGGACAGGACAGGGTTAACAGCACCACAGGGCTATTCTCCCTCACTGCAGAGGGAACAGGACAGGACAGGACAGGACAGGACAGGACAGGACAGGACAGGGTTAACAGCACCACAGGGAGACAGCAGCACAGAGTTAAACAACCTAGAGGGTGCATTCACAGTCAATGGAAATGATAGGAGGAGCCCTCAAGGTGTTACCATTTCCATGCCTCTGTGTTGATGGGTTCATGGGGAAGAGGACAGGAAGAGGACAGGAAGAGGACAGGAAGAGGACAAGAAGAGGACAGGAAGAGGACAGGAAGAAGAAGACAGGACATGTTTATGATGTGCTGTCTAGATAATTGGCACGTCACACGTGTTCCATTACATATGTAGACTATCTTTAGAGGTCAAACCCTTACCCTCGCCTGTCGACATGACATGCCTTCGTCATACATAGTACTGGACTACAGAATCGACGTGACCAACACAGATCATGTACCCATCTACAGATATGACCCACAACAGTTAGTTCCCATACTACAGTCATGTACCCACTACTACAGTGTCATGTACCCACTACTACAGCTATCGACAGCATATACAGTATACAGTAGTACTGACTGGAACGTCACACAGCGGCTCAGTACACACTATACAGGACATGTACCACTACTGACAGATCATGCCACTACAGTACATGTACCACTACTAGCAGATCAGTACACACTACTACGACGACGTACACACTACAGAGAACGACATAGACGAGACAGACGAGACACAGTACGACCAGACACTACAGTACAGTACACTACACAGATCATGACACACTACTACGAGCGAGTACTACGACAGGACACGACCGGTGAACGAACAGTACTACTAGTACGCACACACGACGACACTACGACTGACACTGACGACAGTACGACAACACGACTGACGACGACGACGACGAGCGCAACGACGACGACACACGACACGACGAACAAACGACGACGACGACAATACACTACGACACGACTAGACATACGCACGACAACGCGACGAGACGACGACAAACGACGACGACGACGACGACGACGACGACGACTGACGCACGAACGCGACGACGACGACGACTACGACACACGACTGACTACACGAACTACGAGACGACTACACAACCCGCTACGATACGACACGACTACAAAACCACGTACGACTTACTACGACTACTACGGACGACTACTATACTACGTACTACTACTACTATACACTACACGTACTGACTATACACTGACGTACGCTACGACTACTACTAACTACATAACTACTACACTACGACTACTACACTACTTACTACTGACTAGATAACCACACGACTACATAGATACCGTACTACTACTACTACTACTACTACTACTACTACTACTATTACTACTACTGCTACTACTACTACTACTACTACTACTACTACTACTACTACTATTAATACCTCTACTACTACTACTACTTCTACTACTACTACTACACTGTAGGGCTACTGTCTATGGATCCATCACACTGTAGACTACTGTCTATGGGGTGTATGGTATTCAGCAGGATGTTCTCCTGAGGTCTATGGTATTCTGTCGTGCTGTGTTATGTAGTACATTAATAGATTTCTCATAGGGACATTGAGTTTTTAATGCATTCCTTGGCTGGGACATTTTTAGCCAGGTGAAAGAGAGTCCTGTTGTTGTAGTGTTTGACCTACCAGAGCCCAGGGTTTTTAGTCAGGTGACAGAGAGTCCTGTTGTTGTAGTGTTTGACCTACCAGAGCCCAGGGTTTTTAGTCAGGTGAAAGAGAGTCCTGTTGTTGTAGTGTTTGACCTACCAGAGCCCAGGGTTTTTAGTCAGGTGACAGAGAGTCCTGTTGTTGTAGTGTTTGACCTACCAGAGCCCAGGGTTTTTAGTCAGGTGACAGAGAGTCCTGTTGTTGTAGTGTTTGACCTACCAGAGCCCAGGGTTTTTAGTCAGGTGACAGAGAGTCCTGTTGTTGTAGTGTTTGACCTACCAGAGCCCAGGGTTTTTAGTCAGGTGACAGAGAGTCCTGTTGTTGTAGTGTTTGACCTACCAGAGCCCAGGGTTTTTAGTCAGGTGACAGAGTCCTGTTGTTGTAGTGTTTGACCTACCAGAGCCCAGGGTTTTTAGTCAGGTGACAGAGAGTCCTGTTGTTGTAGTGTTTGACCTACCAGAGCCCAGGGTTTTTAGTCAGGTGACAGAGAGTCCTGTTGTTGTAATGTTTGACCTACCAGAGCCCAGGGTTTTTAGTCAGGTGACAGAGAGTCCTGTTGTTGTAGTGTTTGACCTACCAGAGCCCAGGGTTTTTAGTCAGGTGACAGAGAGTCCTGTTGTTGTAGTGTTTGACCTACCAGAGCCCAGGGTTTTTAGTGAGGAGCGGTTGTACTTCTGCACACACTCGTCTCCGTATTTCAGCAGCAGCCTGATGGCAGTTGGAGCGCCGTAAAACTGGTTGATCCCCAGCCTCTCCACCATCTCCCAGTACCTGCCTGTAACATCACCAGAAATATTCATGTGTTGGTGTCGTACTGTTCATTCTTAGAAGACAGTAAAGTACATACAGAGAACTGTTCTGATGTTCACTTATTTTACACGTTGCTGGGCAGCACATAAAACCTCACGTTTGTGCCTAAAACCTTTGTTGAGTTTTACAGGCTTAAATGCTGAACTTTTCACAAGACAGACATTTACATTTTAGTCATTTAGCAGACGCTCTTATCCAGAGCGAATTACAGTTAGTGAGTGCATACATTTTCATACTGCCCCCCCTCGTGGGAAACGAACCCACAACCCTGGCGTTGCAAGCGCCACGCTCTACCAACTGAGCTACAGGGGACTACAGGAATGCACTCTCAATGACAGTATCCCCATAGGAGAACCCTTTTTGGTTCCAGGTAGAACTATTTTGGGTTCCATGTAGAACCCTCTGTGGAAAGGGTTTTACATGGAACTCAGAAAGGGTTCTACCTGGAACCAAAAAGGTTCTACCTGGAACCAAAAAGGGTTCTTCAAAGGGTTATCCTATGGGGACAGCCAAAGAACCCTTTTAGGTTCTAGGTAGCACCTTTTTTTCTAAGAGTGTAGACCTACTGAATATACACAAGGGAGTTATATTTAGAGTGGAATGGTGAGTTCAGATGTTCAGTTGTAAACATGTCAAAGGGCAGGTTGTAAAAGCCTTAGTAGTCTGTTGTTACCTGGGTCGGGGTATAGTGGTGTACTCTCAAACAGAACGGTAGTCCCTCCATTACACAGAGGGCCATAGACGATGTAGCTGTGACCTGTTATCCAGCCGATGTCCGCCACACAGCCAAACACATCCCCGTCATGGTAGTTGAACACATACTGAAGGAGAGAGGACAATAGAGGAAGATAAGGCAATAGGTACTGGTCTAGATCAGGGGTCTTCAACCCGCCCAGGTAAACAGGAGACCCAGGGACCCCATCATACTGTATGTTTGCAAAAATATATATTTTTTCACGTCTTGTCTTATCGTCAGGTGAATGATAATGGCAAGGAGAAGTAATTAACATTTTTTAAATGAATAGATTTGGTAGATCGTTTTTCATTATTTTGACCTCCCCACATTATAATTGGAAGAGGTAGTGTAAACTCTAACATAGCCTATTAGCTAGAAAGGTAACTCAAAACACATTTCCGCTAAGAGCAGCTGTTCAGCTGGTTAAAGAGCCATGTACTGTATGTCCAAGCCAAGAAGGTTTACCAGCAGCCAGCGGAACTTGCTGCGACTGGTACACGCATGTGTTTTTTCAAAGCCTACGTCAGATACTCCAATGAGTGTAATTAGCTCAATATGAGGAGTTGAGAAATAAAGTTGACATCATTAGAAAGAAGATAGTATCTTCTTTCGTACTGTAGGTATGTAAATCAAAAATGTGTTTATTCAGTTGTTGCTAGCGATATTCATAAAAACAAAAACATTTTCCACTTTTTTTATTTTATCATATTTTCACAGACCCCCTGTAGTTAGTACCTGGGGTCTGCGGTCTTTATGATTGAATGTGCCACAAGACTGTGTTAGCCCGCTGAGCTAAAGCCTAAGCATTTTAAGTGAGCTCTATAGGGTTTACCGTGTGTGTGTGTGCGTGCGAGTGTGTGTGTGTGTGTGTGTGTGTGTGGGTGTGTGTGTGTGTGTGTGTGTGTGTGCGTGTGTGTGTGTGCGTGCGAGTGTGTGTGTGCGTGCGTGCGTGCGAGTGTGTGCGTGCGTGTGAGTGTGTCTGTGTGTGTGTGTGTGCGTGCGTGCGTGTGTGTGTGTGCGTGCGTGTGTGTGTGTGCGTGCGTGTGTGTGTGTGCGTGAACCAGACCTCACCCTGTGTGTAAGGGAGGTGTAGAGCAGGTAACCAGCCTGTGTATGAACCAGACCCTTCGGTTTCCCTGTGCTGCCTGACGTATAGAGCAGGAATAGGACATCCTCACTGTCCATGGCAACGGGCTCACACACCACATCCTCCTTCATCATCTCCTGTTAAAGGACAAAGAGTTCAGCCCATAGAAACAGAATCCCTAAAACAGGTTTCCCCATTCAAGTCAATGTGCCTGTGATGAGTGGACTTTCTATTCATTATATTTCTATGGTTCAGCCATTTTAAGTCTCAGTATCTCCTGTTAATAACAGACAAAGATGTCAGCCATTTTTCCCAGGTATTTTTCTGATTGTATTGGCCAGATAGAGAGGATAACAGTGGAGAAAGATAGAAGGTCAAAGGGCAGTAGACACTTCTGCAGCATTACCGCTAGACCAGCCAGGCCACATGATGTTGGTCATTTAAAGCCTCAATAATGCTTCAGAGAGGTTTGAACCAGTGGAGGCTGGTGAAGGGAGGACGGCTCATAATAATGGCTGGAATGGAGTCAATGGAATGGTAACAAACATGTGTTTGATATCGTTCCATTCACTCCATTCCAGCCATTATTATGAGCCGTACCTCCCCTCACCAGCCTCCGCTGGTTTAAACCCATAATAAATCTCAATAACGCCTCCTATATTCAAGTCAACGTCATGGTTAAGACACAGGAGCATTCACTCAAAAGAAATGTGACAATCATTTACTAAGCGGCTAGGTTTTCCATAAGGTGATAAGTGGTGATAACACTGAGAAGTGTAACAGAACTATTTGAATAGCTGTGCAAAGATCCAGGGAGCTAACGTATTATTAAATGTTTTCCCATTTAAAAAATATATTCTATTTTTCACACGTGATAAAATGATCACGCAATTTAACAAACAGTAAATCATTATTTTTTGAAGTAACTATTGTTTAAATACAAAAAGCAGTTATAAAAACAGTTGTAACCTACTCATAGACGCCAACCTCTTATGAACAGTTATAACCTCACCAGTAAGCTGTGTCTCTATTGGCTCACCTCCTCTCAGTAAGCTGTGTCTCTATTGGCTCACCTCCTCCAGCGGAACATCTCTGTCCGTCATGGCAACCGTGTTCTCTGTTCTCATGGCAACCAGGACCTGCTGGACTGAGGGACAGTTCTGGACGGCCTGGTCCACGGTTCTCTTCAGGTCGACCACCTTGCCTCCCCTCACACCCTGGTTGACCGTGATCACCGTGCTGGATTGGGCTGGAGCAGGGCCAGATACATTATACAGTAGATACAGAGAGAGAGAGATTGTTAAAAAGTCATGAAAGATACACTGACAATTTGTGGTTCCTAGACCTCATCAACCACCTCACCCTCTCTAATGCGCTCATCGAAGTCAAAATTGTCTATATCGTATACATTTATGGAATCAAAATTAGCTTTTTTTTTTTAGTATTTTTGGGTTAGGCACAAGGTTAGCAGTGTAGTTAAGGTTAGGTTTAGGTTTAAACTGAAAGACCCTTTCTCCCTTCGGTCTCAACGTACACTTTGATCTGAAGCCATTCTTGTGATTCTTGTGATTTTGCTATTCATTGTAAATGTTTTGTAGACCTATGTAGCCAAGTATCTATGATCGTATGCTATCCACTCACGTTTTTTGTATGATCTGTTTATCTGTGAATTAACCAATGACATCAGTTCACACCTGGCCATGATTACAGACACCTGTGTGTGTGTGTCCTTTGACAGTATATAAACTAGTGACCCGCAGTGTTTGTGACTATACCCTGATGAAGACAGCTTGTCTGTGGAAACGTTGGTTATCAGGTTATTAAATAAGTGCATCTGAGCTCCTCGAGTGAGACTCTCCTTCTCTTTTTCTAGGTTTAAAATCAGACAGTGACGACCCCTCACCGTCTCTGATGCGGTCAGCCAGGGCCTCAGAGCTGAACCCGGCGAAGACCACATTGTGGGCGGCACCTATCCGGGCGCACGCCAACATGGAGGCCACTGCCAGGGGGCAGGAGGGCATATAGAGAGTCACACAGTCCCCCCTCCGCACCCCCTGGCGCTTCAGCAGGTTGCCCAGGCGACAAGTCAGCTCCAGTAGCTGTCTGTGGAGAGAAATGAGTGAGGGGTGGTGAGTATGTGTATTTATAAATACAGTCTATCTTTGTGTATAGATTACTGTAGTTGTGATAGGCCTACTCTTTGTGTATAGATTACAGTAGTTGTGATAGCCCTACTCTTTGTGTATAGATTACTGTAGTTGTGATAGGCCTACTCTTTGTGTATAGATTACAGTAGTTGTGATAGCCCTACTCTTTGTGTATAGATTACAGTAGCTGTGATAGCCCTACTCTTTGTTAATAGATTACAGTAGTTGTGATAGCCCTACTCTTTGTGTATAGATTACAGTAGTTGTGATAGCCCTACTCTTTGTGTATAGATTAAAGTAGTTGTGATAGCCCTACTCTTTGTGTATAGATTACAGTAGTTGTGATAGGCCTACTCTTTGTGTATAGATTACAGTAGTTGTGATAGGCCTATTCTTTGTGTATAGATTACAGTAGTTGTGATAGCCCTACTCTTTGTGTATAGATTACAGTAGTTGTGATAGCCCTACTCTTTGTGTATAGATTACAGTAGTTGTGATAGCCCTACTCTTTGTGTATAGATTACAGTAGTTGTGATAGCCCTACTCTTTGTGTATAGATTACAGTAGTTGTGATAGGCCTACTCTTTGTGTATACAGTGGGGAAAAAAAGTATTTAGTCAGCCGCCAATTGTGTAAATTCTCCCACTTAAAAAGATGAGAGAGGCCTGTAATTTTCATCATAGGTACACGTCAACTATGACAGACAATTTGAGGAAAAAAAATCCAGAAAATCACATTTTAGGATTTTTTATGAATTTATTTGCAAATGATGGTGGAAAATAAGTATTTGGTCACCTACAAACAAGCAAGATTTCTGGCTCTCACAGACCTGTAACTTCTTCTTTAAGAGGCTCCTCTGTCCTCCACTCGTTACCTGTATTAATGGCACCTGTTTGAACTTGTTATCAGTATAAAAGACACCTGTCCACAACCTCAAACAGTCACACTCCAAACTCAACTATGGCCAAGACCAAAGAGCTGTCAAAGGACACGAGAAACAAAATTGTAGACCTGCACCAGGCTGGGAAGACTGAAACTGCAATAGGTAAGCAGCTTGGTTTGAAGAAATCAACTGTGGGAGCAATTATTAGGAAATTGAAGACATACAAGACCACTGATAATCTCCCTCGATCTGGGGCTCCACGCAAGATCTCACCCCGTGGGGTCAAAATGATCACAAGAACGGTGAGCAAAAATCCCAGAACCACACGGGGGGACCTAGTGAATGACCTGCAGAGAGCTGGGACCAAAGTAACAAAGCCTACCATCAGTAACACACTACGCCGCCAGGGACTCAAATCCTGCAGGGCCAGACGTGTCCCCCTGCTTAAGCCAGTACATGTCCAGGCCCGTCTGAAGTTTGCATGAGTGCATTTGGATGATCCAGAAGAGGATTGAGAGAATGTCATATGGTCAGATGAAACCAAAATATAAATTTTTCGTAAAAACTCAACTCGTCGTGTTTGGAGGACAAAGAATGCTGAGTTGCATCCAAAGAACACCATACCTACTGTGAAGCATGGGGGTGGAAACATCATGCTTTGGGGCTGTTTTTCTGCAAAGGGACCAGGACGACTGATCCGTGTAAAGGAAAGAATGAATGGGGCCATGTATCGTGAGATTTTGAGTGAAAACCTCCTTCCATCAGCAAGGGCATTGAAGATAATAATAATAATATGCCATTTAGCAGACGTTTTTATCCAAAGCGACTTACAGTCATGCGTGCATACATTTTTGTGTATGGGTGGTCCCGGGGATCGAACCCACTACCTTGGCGTTTCAAGCGCCGTGCTCTACCAGCTGAGCTACAGAGGACCACAATGAAATGTGGCTGGGTCTTTCAGCATGACAATGATCCCAAACACACCGCCCGGGCAACGAAGGAGTGGCTTCGTAAGAAGCATTTCAAAGTCCTGGAGTGGCCAAGCCAGTCTCCAGATCTCAACCCCATAGAAAATCTTTGGAGGGAGTTGAAAGTCTGTGTTGCCCAGCGACAGCCCCAAAACATCACTGCTCTAGAGGAGATCTGCATGGAGGAATGGGCCAAAATACTAGCAACAGTGTGTGAAAACCTTATACTTATTTTACCAAATACTTATTTTGCACCATAATTTGCAAATCAATTCATTAAAAATCCTACAATGTGATTTTCTGGATTTTTATTTATCATTTTGTCTGTCATAGTTGACGTGTACCTATGATGAAAATTACAGGCCTCTCTCATCTTTTTAAGTGGGAGAACTTGCACAATTGGTGGCTGACTAAATACTTTTTTTCCCCACTGTAGATTACAGTAGTTGTGATAGCCCTACTCTTTGTGTATAGATTACAGTAGTTGTGATAGCCCTACTCTTTGTGTATAGATTACAGTAGTTGTGATAGGCCTACTCTTTGTTAATAGATTACAGTAGTTGTGATAGCCCTACTCTTTGTGTATAGATTACAGTAGTTGTGATAGCCCTACTCTTTGTGTATAGATTACAGTAGTTGTGATAGCCCTACTCTTTGTGAATCTTTTTGGTCGTCATAGTTATATATGAGGTAACCCACCAAAACATTATTTCAGGTAAGAAATTGTCTGAATGATAAACCGCCATGCACCAGGGAACAACTACATGAATATGCATTCCGTAGCAAATCCAGGGGGTAGCCCCGAATTGGACTCAAACCCGGGTCCAGCGACTGTCAAGCCAACACCTTAACCGTTGCGCCAAGAAGTCCAAACCTCTTGATGAGGTCGCTAGGTGTTGGGTTACAGTCGCTACAATACCTGATTTTCTGTATGAATTCAGATCGTGCGTATAAAGTGTGTTCCCACATGAGATGTATAGTGATTGTGATCGTTCCAGACCTGTAGGTGATCTTGACCTCAGTTCCAGGTTCATCTCTCTCCCAGATCAGAGCCACTCTCTCTGGACAAGTGTGAACATGACGGTCCAAGCAGTTCACTACACACACACACACACACACACACATACACACACACGCACACACATACGCACGCCCGCTCACACATACAGACACATGCGCACACACACTCACACACACACATATACGTACGTTGGCACGCACGCACGCACACACACACGCACGACACACACATACGCACGCACGCTCACACATATAGACACACGCGCACACACACATATATATGTACGCACACGCACGCACGCACGCACGCACGCACACACACACACACACACAGACAGACAGAATTGAAAGTCAGTCTCAAAACAGTTCAGCTCAAACTAAATTAGCTTGGCGCTCAGAGTATTCTGCCAATAGCTTGGTTGTTTCCTGGTAAATACTTTGGGATAAATGCTTCTTTCACAACACAAGAGAGCCTGTCTGTCAATTTGAATGTTCTCATGAAATATTCCATCAGCGTCTTCTCCTCCTGACTGAACCCAGTAATTGGTACTGTTTGTATTTATTAAGGATCCCCGTTAGTTCCTGCCAAGGAAGCAGCTACTCTTCCTGTGGTTTATTAAGGATCCCCGTTAATTCCTGCCAAGGAAGCAGCTACTCTTCCTGGGCTTTATTAAGGATCATTGTTAGTTCCTGCCAAGGAAGCAGCTACTCTTCCTGTGGTATATTAAGGATCCCCGTTAGTTCCTGCCAAGGAAGCAGCTACTCTTCCTGGGCTTTATTAAGGATCCCTGTTAGTTCCTGCCAAGGAAGCAGCTACTCTTCCTGGGCTTTATTAAGGATCCCTGTTAGTTCCTGCCAAGGAAGCAGCTACTCTTCCTGGGGTCCAGCAACATTAAGGCAGTTACTCTGGGTGATTCTAATGGCAGAGAAATATAACCTGCAGGAAATAAACATTGTGTGGAACCATCTGGAGTCCTATATTTATTACAGAATTATTATTTTCAAATAAAGGAAAACGTATTTCAACCAATACCCATCATCAAAACAACTCTATGGAGCTTTTTCTTTCAAGGTAAAAAAAAAAAAAAATCTTCCATATGGTTATTACATTGCCTATTAGGTAGACTAGCTAGAATATGGTTTAGATATTGCAGTGCAAAAGATGTACAAATATTTCTTATAAATATTGTATATTTTGTGGAGAAAATGTCATCTTACCAGATACATTGAGTTTTCCCCCTTCAAACCATTTTATTTTGCCTTGACTAAAGTCACAGTTCTGAACGGTGTGAAAGGGACTTATCCACGACAGCCTCTGGCGCGCCAACGCGCCCCAAAACCGGTCACTTTCGTTGACGGAGAATTTGTGCAGTCCCGAATGATCACTGACACCTTGAAATGCAACGGCCTCGGGCATATATGACGCTATATTGTAGCTTCTGCCTAACTGTTGACAGCATTTAAAAAACCGTCGGCTAAATGACGAAGTGAGTGTCAACGAAGAGCCTCTCCAAAGCGAACACATAATGCAACGAAGTTCTTTGTCATAAAGACAGTCTCTTCTGAAGAAGAAATGTCATATCCTTTATCCACCAAAATTGTGAAACAACATTTAAAAGCATTAAAAAATCACATTTAAAATCACATATTCGTAATGACAATGGGGTTTGTGTGTTATCAAACGAACCCTTTAAGTAACGAAAGACTCCAGCAAAACTTTTTTTGAGTGAGAGAATCGAAGCAGATGCATTTAAAGGGAAGTCGGAGTCCATTGTGGGCCGACAATAAAGGCGCAGAAGTTGGACCATCGTTTGCGCATTCATTCAGCCAATGACAACAACAGATTACTAAAGTGGGGCATTTCCACCCAAATCAGAAAAATTGACTTGATTAGGCTATAGTATAGTCCAGTGATCACCAACCTTTTCTGAGTCAAGATCACTTTCACAGTCAAAAAGCAAGCCGAGATCTAGAGCTCCGATTTTTTTTTTAAACATGACTTAATCGTTTTTTTTTTTACACTAACCTAATAAAAACAGTTATGTTGGAATTAGGTTTGGGCAGTAGGCCTAATACATTAGCACAGCATTTTGGCTATATGCCTGGCCTGCCAATATTGCTATTCTCAGACCATGTTATATTTCAAAACTAGAGCTTTGATAACAAAATAGATCAGTTGGTGTAGCGCTTGCGAGGCACTGAGGAGCTTGAATTGAAATCATTTATATTTTTATTTTACTGGACTGATGGTACCTGCATCTGTTGGTCATGGTGCTTTCAAGACAACTGGGAACTTTTAAAAAAACGAGGTCAAATCCTTGGACTTGGAATTCCGACTTGAATGACCGTTCGAGGGAGGGAGAGAGCAGCAGAGGGTCCGGAAAGAAAGCTCCTTCCTTTCCTCTGGTGTGATTGACAGAGAGGGGACACCGTCTTCCACATGATGGCGAAACTCGAGTCGCACTGCATCTGGCTCATGCACAAATTCATGTTGTTCCTATGACCAGAGAAAGGTAAATATTCCTCTATATTAAAATAGACACAACGAGCTGCTAATAATAACGAAACACAGGGCTATCGATACACTTGGCTAGGCATTCATTGCAGTTGCAGCGCGAGAGGAAGTACAGAGAAACGCGTTTTATAATAGTGGTGAATAAAACAGTGTTGACAGTGCTGAATAAAAACTTCAACATGAACTCACTAATAAAAACAACAGCTCTTTGCTGTATTCTTTGACAGTCTCTCTGTGGTCATGGTTTTAAAAAGTGATTAAATCTTATGTAGGGTAGTAGCATATCAAACATTGCTGTGGCCAGGGTCTTGGAAGCGGTGTGGTTTGAGCTATCCTATTGGCCAGCGCAGTAGTCGCACTCGATTTAGCCACAGATCTTCCGGTCTGCCAGTTAGGCGGAGTTTGTCTTTTCGGACAAATAAAAATGGTTCAAAATGGGAACGCTTTGCTTACTTTGCTCAAGTGCATCTACCTGCCAACAGCTCAACAAAATAAAAAACGTTGGCTTTTCTACAGAAATGTTTGGTGCTCAACTATAAGATTGACCAGTAGATCGTAATCGACCGGTTGGTGACCACTGGAATAGGCTATTATTTTGATGCAATTCGAGTATACCTAAATTAAAACGAAATGATAACCATTAGCCTATATGTCGATTATACCTATTTCTGTCATAATATATCATGTGGTTTATGTAATTATAGGCTACTCTTAATTAAACTTAATTAGATGCACACAAAAACACCCAGGAATCTCCCATCTGAATAACAATAACAGCTTTAATACTATTTTAATATACAGAACACATAGGCAAAAACAAACACCGCTTGTTGATTTCCAACTACATGAATGTAGCTTTATGTCATTTGAAATAATGACAATAATTCCATCATAGGTAAGATGAAATCCACCACTCACCATATATACAAAGGTATGTGGACACCCCTTCAAATTAGTGGATTTGGCTATTTCAGCCACAACCGTTGCTGACAGGTGTATAACATCGAGCACACAGCCATGCAATCTCCATAGACAAACATTGACAGTAGAATGGCCTTACTGAAGAGCTCAGTGACTTTCAACGTGGCACCGTCATAGGATGCCACCTTTCCGACAAGTCAGTTCGTCAAATCTCTGTCCTGCTAGAGCTGCCCTGGTCAACTGTAAGTGCTGTTATTGTGAAGTGGAAACTTCTAGGAGCAACAACGGCTCAGCCACGAAGTGGTAGGCCCCACAAGCTCACAGAACGGGACCGCCGAGTGCTGAAGTGCATAGCGCGTAAAAATGGTTTGTCCTCGGTTGCAACACTCACTACCGACTTCCAAACTGCCTCTGGAAGCAACGTCAGCACAACAACTGTTCGTCGGGAGCTTCATGAAATGGGTTTCCATGGCTGAGCAGCCGCACACAAACCTAAGATCACCATGCGCAATGCCAAGCGTCGGCTGGAGTGGTGTAAAGCTGGCCGCCATTAGACTCTGGAGCAGTGGAAATGCGTTCTCTGGAGTGATGAATCACGCTTCACCATCTGGCAGTCCGATGGACAAATCTGGGTTTGGCAGATGCAAGGAGTACCTTACCTGCCCCAATGCATAGTGCCAACCGTAAAGTTGGGTGGAGGAGGAATAATGGTCTGGGGCTGTTTTTCATGGTTCGGGCTAGGCCCCTTAGTTCCAGTGAAGGGAAATCTTAACGCTACAGCATACAATTACATTCTAGACGATTCTGTGCTTCTAACTTTGTGGCAACAGTTTGGGGGAGGCCCCTTTCCTGTTTCAGCATGACAATGCCCCTGTGCACAAAGTGAGGTCCATACAGAAATGGTTTATCGAGATTGGTGTGGAAGAACTTGACAGGCCTGCAGAGCCCTGACCTCAACCCCATCGAACACCTTTGGGATGAATTGGAACGCCGACTGTGAGCCAGGCCTAATCGCCCAACATCAGTGCCCAACCTCACTAATGCTTGTGGCTGAATGGAAGCAAGTCCCTGCAGCAATGTTCCAACATCTAGTGGAAAGCCTTCCCAGAAGAGTGGAGGCTGTTATAGCAGCAAAGGGGGGGACCAACTCCATATTAACGCCCATGATTTTGGAATGAGACGTTCGACGAGCATGTATTGTATTGTACATTTCAAGGGGATAGGCTATTTAGTGTAAAAAAGGCTCATGCATCCTCTCAAGGTGAGTTTCTTGTTTTTCACATTATTCCACAGGAGACCATGTATATTTTTCACACCATTTTATCATAACATGTATCTTTCACCTTGTGTGATTTGCCTATTACCTTGGAAAACAATAGGGTACATATGTAAAGACTGATCCATGTAACCAAATAGTTATTCTTCTTAAAGCTGCACAATAGCAAGCTGCCAAATAGCTGCCAAATAGCTGCCAAATAGCTGCCAGATTACAAAATAGTGGACAGTTATAGACCAGGGTATAGAAAATGTGATCTGGACCAAATGAATCCCCATGACAGGAGGATTGTGAGGTTGACAATATCAGCTTTTTGGTGTCAAAGGAACATTACGAAGCTTTTTTGCTAGCGAGAGTATTGTGTATTGTGACCAATACTATCTTGTTTATGATAGTATGGACGTCAGGAATATGTAAAACAGTGTTCTTTACAGAGAGGGCATCAACAGGCCCTAGCACAGTCTTTAGAAGAAGACTAACTGGGTTCTATCTCTGCTGCAGGCTTCAACCGTCCTCCTGTCTGTCCTCCTGTCTGTTTGTCCTCTGTCTCCATCAGCTGTCCCTGTCCCCCTGGTCCGTCCCCTGAAACTGTCCCCAGTGGTCCGTCACCAGGATGTGTGCGTAGCATCTTAGCGCTGTGTTCTGTGGCTTTAGCCCAGGAGTGCAGCGATGCTATTCTCTCTCAGTTCCTATTTGGATATGGGCGACCTGGCATTCTCCCTCCTCCTCTCCTCCTCCTTTTCCTACAGCTCTTGCTCCACCACTCTCTCCCCCTCTCGTTCCCTGGCAGGAAGTTGGGAGAGGGGAGCTTCCAGTTTTCCAGGAGAGGTTAGAACAGGGGTATCTATGGACTTCTTGTGCATACCTGGAAGGAAAAAGGAATCGTTGGTATTCCGTTTAGGAACAGAATGTGAACTCATCCCACTTGGAGACACACACGTCTAAAAAACAGTGACGCTACAGTACTAGGAATCTCAAGCTCGTATTGCGCTGTAGCTGGCAGGTGGTAGGTAGGTGGTCTTGGTCAGTTAGTGTTTCTGACGTCCACCATGGTCAGCATGGTAAGGAGGCAACATGGGAAAGGCACCTTCACTAACAGTTCTGAGAGGTTTAAACTGCTCTTTGAACTATCGTATGTGGTAAGTTAATGCAAGCTCTCCGCCTTAACGTTCTCAGCCTTACATATTGTACTAACTACATCAAAGGTTTTTGAGCAGGATCTCAATGTCAGACTTAATCCCAGGGCTTGTCGGGAGTTGATAAAAGTGTCAATGATGGGTGTAAATCAGTAAAATGATAATCCTACTTTATCAGATTGGATTAACATCTCTGCCTGTCCTATCTGTCAATTGAGTAGCATAGATCAATGAGACAGTGACTGTAATTGAAAATAAGCGTACTGTAGATGCACTCACACGTGCGTGCACACACACACACACACACACACACACACACACACACACACACACACTACACACACACACATACACACACACACTACACACACACTCTGCACCCCACCAACCCACCCACACACATTAACCCAGTGCCTTACCCAGTAGCCATGGGGCACAGGAGTCCATGATGCCGTTCTTGGCTGACTTGAGGATGGACTCAGGCAGAGGGATGGAGTGACGGACCATGGCTCCGTACAGGCCGTACTCTGCCATCACACTGCTGCGACCCCAACACTTCTCCCTCTTCCTCCACTTGGCACGGCGGTTCTGAAACCAAACCTGCAGGGAGAGAGGGAGGGAGGGAGGGAGGGAGGGAGGGAGGGAGGGAGGGAGGGAGGGAGGGAGGGAGGAGAGAGGGAGGGAGGGAGGGAGGGAGGGAGGGAGAGAGGGAGGGAGGGACAGGGGATGTAAGTTTAGGTTTAGGTTTATTTTAACATCTTGGTACATATGCAGAAACGTACATAAAATGCAATGTCACTCAATATAATATAAAACTCAAGTAAAAATATAAGATCAGCCTAATTATATGGACAGTGCATGCAAGTCATAAAACAACACATTGGCATAACAGCCACTACATGTATTTTGGTATTTTATTAGGATCCCCATTAGCTGTTGCAAAAACAGCAGCTACTCTTCCTGGGGTCCACACAGAACATGAAACACGACATAATACAGAACATTAATAGACAAGAACAGCTCAAGGACAGAACTACATCAATTTTAAAAAGGCACACGTAGCCTACATATCAATACATACACACAAACTATCTAGGTCAAATAGGGGAAAGGCGTTGTGCCGTGAGGTGTTGCTTAATCTGTTTTTTGAAACCAGGTTTGCTGTTCATTTGAGCAAAATGAGATAGAACGGAGTTCCATGCAATAATGGCTCTATATAATACTGTACGCTTTCTTGAATTTGTTCTGGATTTGGGGACTGTGAAAAGACCCCTGGTGGCATGTCTAGTGGGGTAAGTGTGTGTGTCAGAGCTGTGTGTATTTTGACTCTACAAACAATTTGGGATTTTCAATGTTTCTTAAAAAAAGAAGAAGTGATGCAGTCAGTCTCTCCTCAACTCTTAGCCAAGAGAGACTGGCATGCATAGTATTTACATAAGTATTCAGACCCTTTACTCAGTACTTTGTTGAAGCACCTTTGGAAGCGATTACAGCCTTGAGTCTTCTTGGATATGACGCTATAAGCTTGGCACACCTGTATTTGGGGAGTTTTTCCCAATCTTCTCTGCAGATCCTCTCGAGCTCTGTCAGGTTGGGTGGGGAGCTTCACTGCAAAGCTATTTTCAGGTCTCTCCAGAGATGTTCGATCAGGTTCAAGTCCGAGCTCTGGCTGGGCCACTCAAGCACATTCAGAGACTTGTTCCGAAGCCACTCCTAGGTTGTCTTGGGTGTGTGCTTAGGGTCATTGTCCAGTTGGAAGGTGAACATTTGCCCCAGTCTGAGGTCCTGAGTGCTCTGGAGCAGGTTTTCATCAAGGATCTCTCTTTACTTTGCTCCGTTCATCTTTCCCTCGATCCTGACTAGTCTCCCAGTCCCTGCCGCTGAAAAACATCCCTACAGCATGATGCTGCCAGCACCATGCTTCACCGTAGGGATGGTGCCAGGTTTCCTCCAGACGTGCCACTTGGCATTCAGGCCAAAGAGTTCAATCTTGGTTTCATCAGACCAGAGAATCTTGTTTCTCATGGTCTGAGTCCTTCAGGTGCCATTTGGCAAACTCCAAGCGGACTGTCATCTGCAATTTACTGAGGAGTGGCTTCCGTCTGGCCACTCTACCATAAAGGCCTGATTGGTGGAGTGCTGCAGAGATGGTTGTCCTTCTGGAAGGTTCCCCCATCTCCACAGAGGAACTCTGGAGCTCTGTCAGAGTGACCATCGGGTTCTTGATCACCTCCCTGACCAAGGCCCTTCTCACCCGATTGCTCAGTTTGGACAGGCGGCTAGCTCTAAGAAGAGTCTTGGTGGTTCCAAACTTCTTCCATTTAAGAATGATGGAGGCCACTGTGTTCTTGGGGACCTTCAATGCTGCAGACATTTTTTTGTGCCCTTCCCCAGATCTGTGCCTCGACACAATCCTGTCCCAGAGCTCTACGGACAATTCCTTCGACCTCATGGCTTGGTTTTTGCTCTGACATGCACTGTCAATGTCACGCCCTGGCTCTGGGGACTCTAGTATGTTGAGCCACGGTGTGAGTTTTCTTGTGTTTTACATTCTAGGTTAAGTATTTCTATGTTGGCCAGTGTGGTTCTCAATCAGAGGCAACGAGTGTCAGCTGTTGCTGGTTGTCTCTGATTGGGAACCACATTTAGACAGGCTGTTTTCCCACAGTGGTTGTGGGATCTTGTTCCAAGTAGGTTGTGTTTGTCTAAGGACGTCACGTTATCGTTTTGTTGTTTTGTTCAGTAAATCACTAATAAATATGTTCGCAAATAATGCTGCGCATTGGTCCTCTGTTCCCGACGATCGTGACAGTCAACTGTGGGACCTTATATAGACAAGTGTGCCTTTTCAAATCACGTCAATTAAATGTACCACAGATGTACTCCAATCAAGTTGTGGAAACATCTCAAGGATGATCAATGGAAACAGGATGCACCTGAGCTCAATTTTGAGTCTCATAGCAAAGGGTCTGAATACTTATGTAAATAAGGTATTTCTGTTTTAAATTTTTTATAAATTTGCAAAAATGTCTAAAAACCTGTTTTCGCTTTGTCGTTATGGGGTATTGTGTGTAGATTGCTGAGGATTTTTATTTATTTAATCCATTTTAGAATAAGGCTGTAACATAACAAAATGTGGAAAAAGTCAAGAGGTCTGAATACTTTCCGAAGGCACTGTATATAAACAAATCACAACAGCTGATGGAAACAGTAAGTTTTGGTACAATTATATAAATGCTGACGGATAAGTTTGACATAGTGGGATCTTTTTGCAACCAGGTTACCATCAAACCTTTTTATGTGTGTAAAGTACGTCAGATAAACATATCACAACCAATGAGTTACAATTACATATTCCACATTTTGTTACAGCCTGAATTCAAAATGGATTTAAAAAAAAGTATAATTCTCAGCAATCTACACACAATACCCCATAATGACAAAGTGAAAACATGTTTTTAGAAATTTTACCAAACTGATAGAAAATGAAACACAGAAATATACAATATAATAATATACTATATATATAGAAGTATGTGGACACCCCTTCAAATTAGTGGATTTGGCTTTTCAGCCACACCCGTTGCTGACAGGTGTATAAAATCGAGCACACCGCCATGCGATCACCATAGACAAACACTGGCAGTAGAATGGACTTACTGAAGAGCTCAGTGACTTTCAACGTGGCACCGTCATAGGATGCCACCTTTCCAACAAGTCAGTTCGTCAAATTTCTGCCCTGCTAGAGCTGCCCCAGTCAACTTTAAGTGCTGTTATTGTGAAGTGGAAACGTCTAGGAGCAACAACGGCTGAAGCACGTAAAAATCATCTGACCTCGGTTGCAATTCAGTGACTTCATTAGCTGTGGTTGCTGATGCGTATATGGTTGAATCATCAGCATACATGGACACACATGCTTTGTTTAAAGCCAGTGGCAGCCCATTGGTAAAAATAGAAGAGTAGAGGGCCTAGAGAGCTGCCTTGCGGTACACCACACTTTATATGTTTGACATTAGAGAAGCTTCCACTAAAGAAAACCCTTTGAGTTCTATTAGATTGATAGCTCTGAATCCCCGATATTGGCAGAGGTTGAAAAGCCATAACACATATGTTTTTTCAACAACAGGTTATGGTCAATAATATCAAAGGCTGCACTAAGGTCTAACAGTACAGCTCCCACAATCTTCTTATTATCCATTTATTTCAACCAATCATCAGTCATTTGTGTCAGTGCAGTACATGTTGAGTGCCCTTCCCTATAAGCATGCTGAAAGTCTGTTATTAATTTCTTTACAGAGAAATAGCATTGTATTTCGTCGAAGGCTTTACACACATCCTAACTATCCACATCCTAACTATCCACATCCTCACTATTCACATCCTAACTATCCACATCCTAACTATCCACATCCTCACTATTTACATCCTAACTATCCACATCCTCACTATTCACATCCTCACTATCCACATCCTAACTATCCACATCCTCACTATTCACATCCTAACTATCCACATCCTCACTATCCACATCCTCACTATTTACATCCTAACTATCCACATCCTCACTATTCACATCCTCACTATCCACATCCTCACTATTCACATCCTAACTATCCACATCCTCACTATCCACATCCTCACTATTTACATCTTAACTATCCACATCCTCACTATTCACATCCTCACTATCCACATCCTCACTATTTACATCCTAACTATCCACATCCTCACTATCCACATCCTCACTATCCACATCCTAACTATCCACATCCTCACTAATCACATCCTAACTATCCACATCCTAACTATCCACATCCTAAATATTCACATCCTAACTATCCACATCCTAACTATCCACATCCTCACTATCCACATCCTCACTATTTACATCCTAACTATCCACATCCTCACTATCCACATCCTCACTATCCACATCCTCACTATCCACATCCTCACTATCCACATCCTAACTATTCCTAACTATGGCCTTCTTCGCCTGCTTTGAGGATAACACAGTGCCACCGACGCGGCCCGCTCCCAAGGACTGTGAGCTCTCGTTCTCCGTGGCCGAGGTGAGTAAGACATTATCCCTCGCAAGGCTGCCAGCCCAGATGACATCCCTAGCCGCATCATCAGAGCATGCGCACACCAGCTGGCTGTTGTGTTTAGGGACATATTAAATCTCTCCCTATCCCAGTCTGCTGTCCCCACTTGCTTCAAGATGTCATTGTTCCTGTACCCAAGAAAGCAAAGGTAACTGAACTAAATGACTATCGCCCCGTAGCACTCACCATCATGAAGTGCTTTGAGAGACTAGTCAAGGATCATATCACCTCTACCTTACCTTACCTGTCACCCTAGACCCACTTCAATTTGCTTACCGCCCCAATAGATCCACAGACGATGCAATCGCCATTGCACTGCACACTGCCCAATCCCATCTGGACAAGAGGAATACCTATGTCAGAATGCTGTTCATTGCTCAGCCTTCAACACCATAGTACCCTCTAATCTCATCATTAAGCTCGGGGCCCTGGGTCTGAACCCCGCCCTGTGCAACTGGGTCCTGGACTTCCTGACGGGCCACCCCCAGGTGGTGAAGGTAGGAAACAACACCTCCACTTCGATGCTTCTCAACACAGGAGCCCCACAAGGGTGCATGCTCAGCCCCCTCCTGTACTCCCTGTTCACCCATGACTGCATGCCCAAGCACGCCTCCAACTCAATCATCAAGTTTGCAGACGACACAACAGTAGCAGGCCTGATTGCCAACAAATACGAGATAGCCTTCAGGGAGGAGGTGAGGGCTCTGGGAGTGTGTGCCAGGAAAATAACCTCTCTCTCAATGTCAACTAAACGAAGGAGCTGATCGTGGACTTCAGGAAACAGCAGAGGTAGCACGCCCCTATCCACATCGACGGGACCGCAGCGGAGAAGGTGGAAAGCTTCAAGTTCCTTGGCGTACACATCACTGACAATCTGAAATAGTCCACCCACACAGACAGTGTGGTGAAGAAGACACAACAGCGCCTCTTCAACCTCAGGAGGCTGAATAAATTCATCTTGGCCCCTAAGACCGTCAGAAACTTTTAAAGATGCACAATTGAGAGCATCCTGTCGGGCTGTATCACCGCCTGGTACGGCAACTGCACCGCCCGCAACCGCAGGGCTCTCCAGAGGGTGGTACAGTCTGCCCAACGCATCACCGGGGGCACACTGCCTGCCCTCCAGGACACCTACAGCACCCTATGTCACAGGAAGGCCAAAAATATCATCAAGGACATCAACCACCAGAGCCACGGCCTGTTCACCCCGCTATCCTCCAGAAGGCGTGGTCAGTACAGGTGCATCAAAGATGGGACTGAGAGACTGAAAAACAGCTTATATCTCAAGGCCATCAGACTGTTAAATAGCCATCACTAGCCGGCTACCACCCGGTTACTCAACCCTGCACCTTAGAGGCTGCTTCCCTATGTACATAGACATGGAATCACTGGTCACTATAATAATGGCACACTAGTCCCTTAAATAATGTTTACATACTGCTTTACTCATTTCATATGTATATACTGTATTCTATTCTACTGTATTTTAGTCAATGCCACTCCGACATTGCTTGTCCTAATAACTATATATTTCTTGATTCCATTCTTTTACTTTTAGATTTGTGTATTGTTCTGAATTGTTAGATACTGTTGGATCTAGGAACACAAGCATTTCGCTACACCCGCAATAACATCTGCTAAATATGTGTATGTGACCAATCAAATTTGATTTTATTTGATCTCATGGCGATAGGTCTGGTGATGAGAGATTACTTCCAGGGCTCTCAGCAGAGAGCAGAGGTGTGTGTGTGTGTGTGTGTGTGTGTGTGTGTGTGTGTGTGTGTGTGTGTGTGTGTGTGTGTGTGTGTGTGTGTGTGTGTATGTGTGTGTGTGTGTGTGTGAAGCAGCTGAGCTGAGAAAGTAAAGAACAGGAGGGTGACCCTAGGGGCACCTGGAGGCTGATTGAAAAACACGTTAATTTTCAGAGCCGATCGATGGGCGACAGGCGCTCAAATATCACCAGGGAAATTAAAGAGCTAGATCCCAAGAGAGCCCTGCCATTGACCCAAGCTAATTAATTTCATTTCATTTATGGCTCCCACCACGCCTTGTGCCTAACATATATGGAGGATACATACTCATGCACGAGCACGCAAGCGCACACAAACACACACACACACACACACACAAACACACACACACACACACACAAACACACACACACACACAAACACACACACACACAAACACACACACAAACACACACCACCAGGCTACAGTATGTTATGTACCTGTATCCTGTCCTCTGGAAGATCAGTCTTCATGGAGAGCATCTCTCTGGCGTAGACATCAGGGTAGCGGGCCTCATTGAAAGCCTTCTCCAACTCATCCAGCTGATCTGATGTGAATATAGTCCTGATAGAAACATTAGAGAGGGAACACAAAAAAAAACAGTTATTTTGGTGACAAACATTTGCATAGAGAAGTATTGATTTGAATTGTGCCTGGAAGTGTCAAGTCCATATAAACTGGTCTCCCTTGTAAAAGAGGTCTTCTGATCTCAATGGGACTTCCTGGATAAATAAAGGTTAAAAAAAACAACAACAAATATTTATTTTTACACATTTGTCCTTAAATATATCTATTTGATGAAGTGCTGTGTACTTCAAACAGAACACTTTCTACTCGGAATCAAATCTAAGCTAATAACAGTTTATTTTTTATTTTGTATAAAAATGGATAAGCATGACGTTTAGTTTGTTTTAGTTCATATGGCAGTGGGCACAAAACGAATTATTTTATAATTCCAAAATAAAAAAGTTGATTTAGAATAAATAAATGAAATTTGAATAAGTATAATAAATAATTACATTATCAGGAGATTATTTACACATGCTTATTTTACGCATGATTTTTTCGCTTGAAGTAGGCTACTTGTAGAATATACAGCACCAGAAATATTGACACCTTGTAGGCTATCCGTGATAGCATGCATGAGAATGTAAAGATTTTATTCAAAATATTTAATCCTGAATACCGTTATCAAAAGAAGAAAAGGAATACTCTACTTTGTTTTGTTTGTTGCTACAGCAGAACTGTTTGGAAAATGTCCACCTCTTGACTAATATATATATATATATATATATATTATATATGTATACACCACCGGTCAAAAGTTTGAGAACACCTTCTCATTCAAGGGTTTTTCTTTATTTGTACTATTTTCTACATTATAGAATAATAGTGAAGACATCAAAACTATGAAATAACACATATGGAATCATGTAGTAAACAAAAAAGTGTTAAACAAATCAAAATATATTTTATATATCTGATTCTTCAAATAGCCACCCTTTGCTGTGATGACAGCTTTGCACACTGTTGACATTCTCTCAACCAGCTTCACCTGGAATGCTTTTCCAACAGTCTTGAAGGAGTTCCCTCATATGCTGAGCACTTGTTGGCTGGTTTTCCTTCACTCTGCGGTCCGACTCATCCCAAACCATCTCAATTTGGTTGTGGTCGGGGGATTGTGAAGGCCAGGGCATCTGATGCAGCACTCCATCACTCTCCTTTTTGGTAAAATAGCCCTTACACAGCCTGGAGGTGTGTTGGGTGATTGTCCTGTTGAAAAATAAATGATAGTCCCACTAAGCCCAAACCAGATGGGATGGCGGTAGCTTAGTGGTTAAGAGCGTTGTGCCAGTAACCGAAAGGTCGCTGGTTCTAATTCCCGAGCCGACTAGGTGAAAAATCTGTCGATGTGCCCTTGAGCAAGGCACTTAACCCTAGTTGCTCATGTAAGTCACTCTGGATAAGAGTGTCTGCTAAATGACCCAAAAAATAAAAATAATAATAATAATAATAATTACTAAAAAAATATAAAAAACTTAAAAATGGCGTATTGCGGCAGATTCTGTGGTAGCCATGCTGGTTAAGTGTGCCTTGAATTCTAAATAAATCACAGACAGTGTCACTAGCAAAGCACCATAACACCTCCTACTCCATGCTTTACGGTGGGAAATACACATGCGGAGATCATCCGTTCACCCACACCACGTCTCACAAAGACACAGCGGTTGGAACCAAAAATCTCTAATTTGGACTCCAGACCAAAGGACACATTTCCATCGGTCTAATATCCATTGCTCGTGTTTCTTGGCCCAAGCAAGTCTCTTCTTCTAATTGGTGTCCTTTAGTAGTGGTTTCTTTGCAGCAATTTGACCATGAAGGCCTGATTCACGCAGTCTCCTCTGAACAGTTGATGTTGAGATGTGTCTGTGACTTGAACTCTGTGAAGCATTTATTTGGGCTACAATTTCTGAGGCTGGTAACACTAATTAACTTATCCTCTGCAGCAGAGGTAACTCTGGGTCTTCCATTCCTGTGGTGGTCCTCATGAGAGCCAGTTTCATCATAGTGCTTGATGGTTTTTGTGAATGCACTTCAAGAAACTTTCAAAGTTCTTGAAATGTTCCATATTGACTGACCTTCATGTCTTAAAGTAATGATGGACTGTGGTTTCTCTTTGCTTATTTGAGCTGTTCTTGCCATAATATGGACTTGATCTTTTACCAAATAGGGCTATCTTCTGTATACCACCCCTTCCTTGTCACAACACAATTGATTGGCTCAAACGCATTAAGAAGGAAATAAATTCCACAAATTAACTTTTAAGAAAGCACACCTGTTAATTGAAATGCATTCCAGGTGACAACCTCATGAAGCTGGTTGAGAGAATGTCAACAGTGTGCAAAGCTGTCATCAAGGCAAAGGGTGGCTATGAAGAATCTCAAATATAAAATATATTTTGATTTGTTTAACACTTTTTTGGTTACTACATGATTCCAAATGTGTTATTTCATAGTTTTGATGTCTTCACTATAATTCTACAATGTAGAAAATAGTAAAAAAATAAAGAAAAACCCTTGAATGAGTAGGTGTTCTAAAACTTTTGACCGGTAGTGTATATAAAATAAAAGCCGTCACTTATTGCAAAAGATGTAATGAAATATAAGTTGGCTATGTAGCCTACACACCATCTCGTCTTTATTTTCGAGGCATTAAAATAATTTAGAAATGTATTTCAATTCATACTTGATTATCATTTGTTTATTTGGACGTTTTCGTTCAAATACATGTTCTGAGAATATTGAGGAGGTGCAAACATCGAAATATTGTAGGCTATATTTATTAGAAAAATGTCGCTTACCAAATGCTTCAAAAAAACCTCTCACGGCATTTTGTTTACTTATATACGCCTCAATGGCATATACTCCAATTCAAATACAGTGAGATAAATATTAGTTATAGTCATTAGTTTTACCTGTGAATATTAGTTATAGTCATTAGTTTTACCTGTGAATATTAGTTATAGCCATTAGTTTTACCTGTGAATATTAGTTATAGTCATTAGTTTTACCTGTGAATATTAGTTATAGTCATTAGTTTTACCTGTGAATATTAGTTATAGCCATTAGTTTTACCTGTGAATATTAGTTATAACCATTAGTTTTACCTGTGAATATTAGTTATAGCCAATAGTTTTCCCTGTGAATATTAGTTATAGCCAATAGTTTTACCTGTGAATATTAGTTATAGTCAATAGTTTTACCTGTGAATATTAGTTATAGCCAATAGTTTTACCTGTGAATATTAGTTATAGCCATTAGTTTTACCTGTGAATATTAGTTATAGTCAATAGTTTTACCTGTGAAGTCTCTTCTTTATTTTGTTGTTTTGGTTCATTGATGATTTGGAAAATGTATTTTCGTCGGAGGATACGTCATCTGAATCTGTAAATAAAGAGCCATAGTTTATCATTAAATAAATAGCCACAGGTCTATTGCCAATACAATTACAATGTCATAATTATAAACTGTTATCCTACAGTGTGACAATATATTCAAAAACAGGATAAGATCATTTGCAATCATTAAAACCAAAATGACATTTTCAGCCCAGATAGAAATGGGCTGCAACATAAACATTAAAATAAAAATAAATAAATACATGTCAAATGAATTGCTTATTGGCTACTTAAAAAGATATACTTTTAGAATGTATAGGCCTACGCTAGCCTATAGTTTAAACATTTACCAGAGCAGCTTGCGGAGTGATGCGAATCCAGCTGTCCACTGGCACTGTTGAGCGGCTGAAGGTGAACACTCTGCGCCTCCTGTATCACCTCCAGAAAGGCAGGCTGGCTGTAAAACGAATGCATTACTCCTGGACCAATAATTCCCATCCCAACCCCGACTCCCGCGGGGCCCAAAGCCGACCTAGCCGCCAGAAGGTGCGCCCTGTGCTGCAGAGATTCCATGTTCGAGCCCAGAATCTCCTGGATCCCGAATCCCGTGCACCTGTGCGTCGTAGTCGAACCCATTTTTGACGGTTGGATGCTGGGGCCCGGGTCCCACTAGGTTTAGGGGTGCAGCCTTTTTCGGTTTATTCAAAGAGTCTGGAAAGAACGGTCCCTTCTTTTCCTGATGGTATTCCCGTCCTGCACGAGCCAGTTCCTCGACATTACATTTTTATCCAACAGGTTCCTCACCCGAGGGGTCGTTTCTCTCAGCCAATCACCACAGAGAAAGAACTTAACGCCAACAGAACAGAGGGGGTCGAACGATTCTTTCGTGATGGCAGATCTGTTAATTAAATGAAAATACCTTTGAAGATTTTAGATTTGTTAGACAAGGTATTTCCAGACAACAGGATTTATTAGCCCACCATGAAAAACTCTGTTACCGCAAACGTTCCAGAATTGGTGATATTAATCAGGATGCAGGACTTTATATTTTTTGCCGCCTTCACTGTGGTTCACAAAATAATGCACTTTGCTCTTGCCATACATGCTTATTCGATTTGTGAAGTTATTCAATGGTTTCTTCTGATGTCAGTTGAACATCGATAAATCCTTCAACATTGTTATATTTACTGTATGGGTTTAAGGAAATAATGGATTATATGCGTGTATGCATTTGGTAAGGTAGGCTAACAAGGAATCGTGCTTTTACATGAAATGACGCTTGAGGTGATGAGTTCATTCTAAACTGTATCAGTACAGTATCATATCAGTATCCAATTATGAACCACATAAATTAATAAGAAGATAAATCATGTAAAAATGTAAAATGTAATAAATCATAACTTTTTAATGCTGCGATATAGTTGCCTGGCTACCCAAACTCCTTGCTCTGCCAAACGCTACGCCACGCCCACGGACGTTAGTTACATCACCACAATCAGTCTGAATCTGAGTAGCCTACCTCCCTGACGATTTCTAGAATGGAAATCCATTCTAGATGCTCTCATTGGTCCCAGAAACCGAGATCATTTGGGCCAGAGCCAGAACACGTGGGTAAAGTGGCCTTTAGAAAATATGTTATTGTCTTTGATACTCTGATTGGTTAGCGATTATAAAATCACATTTTATTTGTCACATGCGCTGAATACAACAGGTGTAGACCTTACAGTGAAATGCTTACCTACAAGCCCTTAACCAACAATGCAGTTTTAAGAAAAATCCGGGTAACCATTTGATTAGCTGTTCAGGAGTCTTATGGCTTGGGGGTAGAGCTGTTAAGAAGCCTTTTGGACCTAGACTTGGCGCTCCGGTTCCGCTTGCCGTGCGGTAGCAGAGAGAACAGTCTATGACTAGGGTGGCTGGAGTCTCTGACCATTTTTAGGGCCTTCCTCTGACACCGCCTGGTATAGAGGTCCTGGATGGCAGGAAGCTTGGCCGCAGTGATGTACTGGGCCGTACGCACTACCCTCTGTAGTGCCTTGCGGTCGGAGGCCGAGCAGTTGCCATACCAGGTAGTGATGCAACCAGTCAGGATACTCTCGATGGTGCAGCTGTATAACTTTTTGAGGGTCTGAGAACTCATGCCCGAATCTTTTCAGTCTCTTGAGGGAGAATAGGCTTTGTCGTGCCCTCTTCACGACTGTCTTGGTGTGTTTGGACCATGATAGTTTGTTGGTGATGTGGACACCAAGGAACTTGAAGCTCTCAACCTGTTCCACTACAGCCCCGTCGATGAGAATGGGGGCGTGCTCGGTCCTCCTTTTCCTGTAGTCCACAATCATCTCCTTTGTCTTGATCACGTTGAGGGAGAGGTTGTTATCCTGGCACCACATGGCCAGGTCTCTGACCTCCTATAGGCTGTCTCATCGTTGTCGGTGATCAGGCCTAACACTGTTGTGTCGTCAGCAAACTTAATGATGGTATTGGAGTTGTGCCTGGCCATGCAGTCATGAGTGAACAGGGAGTACAGGAGGGGACTGAGCACGACCCCTGAGCTGCTACCGTGTTGAGGATCAGCGTGGTAGATATGTTGTTACCTACCCTTACCACCTGGGGGCGGCCCGTCAGGAAGTCCAGGATCCAGTTGCAGAGGGAGGTGTTTAGTCCCAGGGTCCTTAGCTTAGTGATGAGCTTTGAGGGCACTATGGTGTTGAACGCTGAGCTGTAGTCAATGAATAGCATTCTCACATAGGTGTTCCTTTTGTCCAGGTGGGAAAGGGCAGTGGGGAGTGCAATAGAGATTGCATCATCTGTGGATCTGTTGGGGCGGTATGCAAATTGGAGTGGGTCTAGGGTTTCTGGTATAATGGTGTTGATGTGAGCCATGACCAGCTGCTACCAGCTGGCTACAACAACAACAAAACGGACGCTGTGGTCTGGCTAATCATCCCGAGCTAGGCCCATCTCCCGGCTATCTACCTCTCTATCAACCGGACGGGACCACCTAGTGTTGACACGGAGCCCCGCCGATCCTACACGACTGGTCTGCCGACGAAATCGTCTGATGTGGTTACGACGTTAACCACGAAGATTCCATCCATCTGCTAGCCCTGGCCCGTTAGCACACGTTATCCGTGGCCTCTTACTCACTAAACTGAACTAGCTACTGAACTAGCTACTTGCTATTAGCCACAGCTAGCGGTGTTGCACCCAGAATATTGGATTTTTTTTCAGCAGGTTTAATTTTTAATCACTGGACATTGATCACCGGATATTCGGCCAGTCTGCACAGCGCGTTATCGACCCAGAACATATCAGTTTTTCCGCCGGAATCACTGAATTCACTGGACCTTTAACTCCGGATTCATCGCTACCAGCTGGCTACAACAAAACGGACGTAGCACACGCTAGCCGTGGCCTCTTACTCACTAGCGCTTCACCACCGGACCTTATGATAACTCAGCTATACAGCTGATATCTGCTGGACTGTTCCTTTTTACGGTACTACATCCTGTTTATGTTTAGCCTCAGCCCAAACATGGTTAGTTTATTGTTGTTTCGGTTATTTCTAATTGTACTATATCACTGTAGACCCCCCAGCCTAGCTAAACCTGCCTTAGTTAGCTCCTTTGTCCCTCCGCCCATACACTCAGAGACCGACTCAATTGATGCCTCTAGAGATACTATCTCTTTCATTGTTACCCAACGCTTAGGTTTACCTCCACTTTACTCATATCCTTCCATATCCTTGTCTGTACATAATGCCCTGAATCTTTTCTATAACACCCGGAAATCTGCCCCCTTTATTCTATGTACCCAACGCACTAGAAGACCAGTTCTTAAAGCCTTTAGCCGTATCCTTATTCTAGTCCTCCTCTGTTCCTCTGGTGATGTAGAGGCTAACCCAGGGCCTGTAGCCCCCAGTATCACTCCTACTCCCCAGGAGCTATCATTTGATGACTTCTGTAATCGCAAAAGTCTTGGTTTCTTGCACATAAATATCAGAAGTCTACTTCCTAAGTTTGAGTTATTCACTGCGTTAGCACACTCTGCCAACCCTGATGTTCTAGCAGTGTCTGAATCCTGGCTCAGGAAGGCCACCAAAAATTCTGAAATTTCCATCCCCAACTATAACATTTTCCGTCTAGATAGAACTGCCAAAGGGGGTGGAGTTGCAATCTACTGTAGAGATAGCCTGCAGAGCTCTATCATACTATCCAGGTCTGTGCCCAAACAGTTTGAGCTTCTACTTCTAAAAATCCACCTTTCCAGAAATAAGTCTCTCACTGTTGCCGCTTGCTACAGACCCCCCTCAGCCCCCAGCTGTGCCCTGGACACCATATGTGAATTGATTGCCCCCCATTTATCCTCTGAGTTTGTACTGCTTGGTGACCTAAATTGGGATATGCTTAATACCCCAGCCATCCTACAATCCAAGCTAGATGCCCTCAACCTCACGCAAATTATCAACGAACCTACCAGGTACAACCCTAAATCCTTAAACATGGGTACCCTCATAGATATCATCCTGACTAACATACCCTCTAAATACACCTCAGCTGTCTTCAACCAGGATCTCAGCGATCACTGCCTTATTGCCTGCGTCCGTAACGGGTCTGCGGTCAAACGACCACCCCTCATCACTGTCAAACGCTCCCTAAAACACTTTAGCGAGGAGGCCTTCCTAATTGACCTGGCCCAGGTATCCTGGATGGATATAGATCTCATTCCGTCAGTAGAGGATGCCTGGTTGTTCCTTAAAAGTAATTTCCTCTCAATCTTAAATAAACATGCCCCATTCAAAAAATACAGAACTAAGAACCGATATAGCCCCTGGTTCTCCTCAGACTTGACTGCCCTTGACCAGCACAAAAACATCCTGTGGCGTACAGCATTAGCATCAAATAGCCCCCGCGATATGCAACTTTTCAGGGAAGTTAGGAACCAATATACACAAGCAGTCAGGAAAGCAAAGGCTAACTTTTTCAAACAGAAATTTGCATCCTGTAGCACTAACTCCAAAAAGTTTTGGGACACTGTAAAGTCCATGGAGAATAAGAGCACTTCCTCCCAGCTGCCCACTGCACTGAGGCTAGGAAACACTATCACCACCGATAAATCTACAATAATCGAGAATTTCAACAAGCATTTTGCTACAGCTGGCCATGCTTTCCATCTGGCTACCACTAACCCGGCCACCAACTCTGCACCCTCTGCTGCAACTTGCCCATGCCCCCCCCCGCTTCTCCTTCACACAAATTCAGACAGCTGATGTTTTGAAAGCGCTGCAAAATCTGGACCCCTACAAATCAGCTGGGCTAGACAATCTGGACCCTTTCTTTCTAAAACTAGCCGCCGAAATTGTCGCAACCCCTATTACTAGTCTGTTCAACCTCTCTTTCATAACGTCTGAGATCCCCAGAGATTGGAAAGCTGCCGCGGTCATCCCCCTCTTCAAAGGGGGTGACACTCTAGATCCAAACTGCTACAGACCTATATCCATCCTGCCCTGCCTTTCGAAAGTATTCGAAAGCCAAGTTAACAAACAGATCACCGACCATTTCGAATACCACCGTACCTTCTCCGCTATGCAATCCGGTTTCCGAGCTGGTCACGGGTGCACTTCAGCCACGCTCAAG